GAACCTATTGAAGGGCCCCCGGGGTATTTTAGATATTTTTCAAATTTTGTGGCCGTAACCCGGTTAACTCCTAAAAAGGAACCCATATTTAAAGGGGGGACCCTTACTGCACTAAGGTGATGACCCTTTATGTAAGGGACTGGTTTCAAAATTCCCTTCCCCCATCTAAAAGCCCCCCATTAAAAATGGTTTAAAAATTTAAAAAGATTTTTTTACAAATTTTCCCCTGGTTTGGGGATTTTTCCCCAAATTTAAAAAATCATTTGTTTAAAAATAACTTTACTAAATAAAAGGGTGGGGTAAAAACCACAAAAGTTAATTGTGTTTTTTGGGCCCAAAATTTTATGGTTTTTTTACCCCCTTTTCCCCGCATAAGGGTGTTATTTCCAAACCCCCGGAAATTTACAGGGTTTTTCATTAAGGTGGCTGGGCGTAAAAATTGGGCTTTTTGATGCTTTTTTTAGCATCCCCTTTTAAACCCTTTAAAAACATATTTTTAAGATAAAATTTAAAAAAATCCTTTTGGGAAACCCCCATTTTAAGATAATTGTCTTAAAATTTAAAAAAGATCGCCTTGGAAAGTTTTAGTAACAAAAACCCCGTGTGTTATTGCACAACTTTTTAAATTTTTCAGTGCCGAATTTTAAGTGGTTTTGGGCCTTTCCCTTTTAAATTTTTATTGACCCCGTCTGGGTATGTCTTGCCAGGGCTCATTTTTCCCCGCCTAAAATGAAGTGTTTCTGCCTTCCCGAAAAAGTTTAAATTTTCCTTTCCCTTTAAATTGGGTTTAAAGCCAACAGAAAAAAAGGGCACCCGTAAAAAGTAACTGTAGGGAAAAATACAAAGGGGCATGGCTGATTTAAAGCCCAAATTATGGAAAAAATTTTAATTTTATTGGCATTGTAGTTTTACCCGAAAAAGGGCCTTTAAAGTTTAAAAAATTTTAAAGGATTTTATTTAAAAATTGTTTTCATTTGGGTTAAAGGTTTTTGGATTTTTGGCCCCACAAACACAATTTAGGTCATATGGCACTAAAACAGGAAAGATGATTTTGGCTGACCTCTGGTATACAAACTTAAAGTGTCATCAGGGGTAAAAACCACCTCATCTGCTTGAGCTAAGAGATGAAAAGACTGGTAAGAAATTCATCCCATTTAGTCGCCCCTTACGATTATGCAGGCTAAACGGTGGCTGCAATTCTTATGTCTCAACCCATCAAGGAAAAACTTAAGCCACAAGGGGAGATTTGGAATACTGTAAGCTAGATATATAGGAAAAACATGAAACACAAATCTTTCACAAGCACAATATCTTTATTTTTGGTAAAAATTTTAAATATACATTATATTAAGATGGATTTTTAGAATTTCAATGATCAATAAATACAACACAAGCTTTTCTTTATGTTTCTCTCTAAGTTTAATGCACAGTTTATAGATACCCGTAACAATAATGGATGGTTTCTTGTTAGTAACAGGGGCTCTGAATATTTAAGGTGCACAGGGTTTTCATTGAAAACTGATTGGCGATCCATATCATCGGTTGAAATGCTATTTTAAATCGGTTGTATTTTCAGTCTGTAGATTACAATATCCCCCTTGACCAAATCGGCTGTTTTCATTGGCACAGCTGTTGCCTCAGATAAAAAATAAAAAACCCTTTTATTCATTTACCCTTAAAACTTTATTAAAAGTAAGGGAAAATCATTTATGCTTCTTTAAAGGTTTTTGGTTTTTTTTAAAATCCCCTTACCAGGGGAAGGTGTCATAAAAATTTTCCCCCAACCCTTTTTGGTTTTTAACCTTTTCTGTGTTCCTCTGTGCATATTTTAAGCACCCGGGCCCGGCACTGGAGTAGAATCACCCCAATTTTTTAAAAATTGTTCTCTCTAATTGCCCTGGGCCCCCTTTTTAGCTATTCGGGGCAAAATTTTTCTTTTTTTTTGAAATTTTAATTATTTTTAAGGGGGATTACTTTTCTTTTGTACATGAAATTTTTAGTTGGGTTTAACCCCAAAGTATGACCAAATAACTGTCCCCATATAATCTCTTAAGAAAAAAAGTCTAAAAAGGGACAATTTTCCCAGAAGTTGAAAAAAATTTGATTTGTTTTGGGCTGTTTTTTTGCAGAATTTTTTTTAAAATTTTGTAAAACAGGTTATTTTTATTTGCAATAGGGGCCTAATTAATCAAGCCCCTTTGGTGTTAGGGTGTAAATGCCCGGTTCTTGTTTTAGATAATTGAAGAAAGTAGGTTGTTCTGTCGTTTCATGAAATAATTATTTTTGAATGTGTTATGGCACATTTTTTCTTTCACCAATATGAAAAACCATACCCAAAAATATAGAACATGTACATTTATTAAATACCATGTATTAACATTAAAGGAAAACAACTTGCAGGAAACAAAATTCTTAATATTATGTAGACATATTCAACTACTGCTTAACAAAATACATGTATAATGACATATAAAAATTTACATCATGTTTTATGATTATGGAGCTGTGCTTGGAAAAAAGCAAATGTGACACTTTTTTAAATACCCAATAAATTCACGACAATTTAGTGGCAAATGAAAAAAAAGTTTCAGTTTTTAGCTTTCAAAAGAAATAAAATTAGGGTAAAATTCCCCAAAACCAAAAACCAATTTAAATCTTCCAAAATAAAAAAAAAAAAATTTTTTTTAAAAATTAAAATTTTATCCTAAAAGGCAAAATTTACAAATTTAGCTATTTTGTTTCCCTTTTTCTTTTTGAAATTCATGGTTTTGGGCCAAAAAAAAGATGATATTTATTAATTAAGTAAAAAAGTAGATAGGAAACCCATTTACATTCAATTCAATGGACTTAAGCTATACAAATAACAAATAATGCAGTTCAGAAGAGAAAACATATCAGTTTTGAAAATAGTATCTATTTCAAATTTATAAGAATTCAGACTTTTTCCACCACAAAAGTGCTTATCAGTTGGGACAAAAAAAATGGGATAGTTCATTGTATAGGTAAAAAAAATCTCAATATTATGTTGTTTTTTTGCTTTACAAAGAGAGTATTGGTTATTTAAAATGACCATGACAATAAATTGGCCATAACAGTAACTGTTGATTGAAGTAAATTCAAGTAAAAATATTTCATTTAGAAAAATATGGATGGGTAAATTGTTTTGATATGCAATACATTTGTTTAGCAAATGTTAAAAGAAAATGTGCTTTTTTGTAGATGATAATAACAACATTCATTAACAAATAAAATATAAAATTTAGTAATAAAAATAACAGTAGCATAAACTTAAAGTAGTTTTTAACATTTGGTTTGATTTTTATTTTTGCTATCCCTTAGGAAAAGAAAAGGGGAGAAATGATAGTTTAATAAGGTCTAAAGGTATCACTCAAACCTTTTGGGTTTGCACCCCACTTTAGCACCATGTCAACTAACACCTTAGAAACTGGTAGTTTTGATTTTCACTTTAACAGTATCAAAATTAAGCCAACAAAGTTTTTTTCCACAATTTTGGGGCGAGGGGGTTTTCCTGTTAAAAATCAGATTTTTGGTGCAGACTGGACCCATGCCCTACTCTGCTGGGTGACCAAATTTAAAAATAATCAAAACCCTAAATATCCCTTTTAAAACGATAATGAAAATCTTTCATAATAAACTTTAAAAAAAATTTCTTTTAAGGGGAAAAACAAACAAGAAAAGGGTTTATCACCCAAAAATTAATTTAAAAAAAGGTTTAAAAAAATATACCATTCCCAAAAATTTTTAAAATTCCCAAAAATTAAAAACAAACCCCAATTTTTTTTGTTTCCCAAACCCCCATTTAAAAATTTTATATTTAAACCCAACTGTCAAATCCACTTTCGATTTTTTTAGGAAGAAGGTAAAAAGGGAGGAAAATGGGATATCTGATTTTAATTGAAAATTGTCAACTTGATCCATGAATCACTTATAACAAATTGTTAAATGGTAACACTGTAAGCTCCAGTTTTAAAGTTCTATTTATACATAAGAAGAAAAAAAAAATAAACAGGGAAAAACAAGTTGTACACCAATGTATATTTCTTCACAAGCAGTTACAAATATTGTGAGAAACTGGAAGACTAAATTAAAAACAACAACAACAACAAGAAAACCCATTCAATTTTTTCACACTTGCTTCTATTCCAACACTGTCACATATAGAATGTGCAATCATCACATACAGTAACATTTTAGCAATTGCAATGACTGATATGCCTTCATATAAAAGCAGTATGCCTCCAGATTCATGCTAATTTTCATGAAAATTCTAAAAAATGTTTATGTAATTAAATATTTCAAGTGAACAAAGAAAGTAACTTTAATATTGCAATAGCACTTATAATCCACTTTCATTACCAAAAGGAGGTCAAAATAAGCAAAAATAGCTCTTACTGCATTACACAGTAGAAAAAATTATGCAGTAGAAAAATAAGAGTGGCCATATGGTTAACACATCAGACTAGTAATATCTAAGGATTTGCTGACCGCATGGGTTCAAACCCTGTCAGGGGCAACCGGTGTTTCCTTGAGCAAGGAACTTTACACTCAATGCTTAGTACTGGTTGGTTCCCGGAACGGATTTGAGAGTGTTTCAATAAGCTTTTAGCTTCCAACACAATCAAATTAAAAAATAAATTTGTATAAACTAATCACACATAACATTAAAATTATTACATGAGATTCTTTTTACTTTTCTTAAAATCTTAGTACATTTTTCTAAAGTTTGATTTCCTTGGTAATATGTTTGCTCTTCTGGACGCATGCAGCTTTAAAATCTACACAAACATGTTGCCAAACACACAGTTTAAACCTTAGAAATACTTTCCAATAATATTATTAACTCCAAAATCACTACAACTTAACTATATAAAAAAACAACCTTTAAATTTTGTGGTCCCTCAAATTCAGTAACAATGCTATAATAGTGATGAACAATGCAAGTACATGTACAAATAGCTAAATTTTATTTACACTTGCTAGGAAAAAACGATTAAGTTTAAAAATGAAACATTTTACATAAATAAGGTAATAGTTGGAGACAGTTTGGATTTGTATGGACAATTAAATACTGTGATAGGTGAATAAAGATTTAAATAAATAAACACAAAAATGAATATTTTTTAAGAAAAGCATCACATTAAAGTTTTTAATCTAGGTAAGTAAATAGATTGCACTGTGTAAAACATGTTTTAAATCTTAAAAAAAATGTCTTTTTTAAAATTTTATAAGGTAGAGATTAGAATATCCCATTTTCTAACCAAAATGAAAGTAACCATTATTGAGAAAACAAAAATGAGATACTTATTTAGTTATTCTAAACAATCTGTGATGCAGAAATTACTTATAAATGTTCATTTATGATATAAAAATATCAAAATACTGATAAAACAAAATTTTATTACTGCATCAATACTGAGCTTAATAATTTTAAAGTCAATAAAAAAACTAAGTTCAGGGAGTATAGAATAATATCTAATACAGTATTTGTTCATGTTTAAAACCATCGCTGCCCGACACATCCGAGTAGTTCCTCGACATCGCACTCATCGCCTTATTGGTCAATACAAGTTCAAGCTCCTGATAGTCAACCAATCGCTGAACATCCTTATCTTTCCGTATAATAGTGTTAGGTAATTTTCTGATCTTGTGTACCAAATGACGATCGACTCCGAGTTCTTTTGTAAGTAACGACATTAATCCTTCATACGTTAGTTTACTGCGAAGAAGTTCAACCTCGATAAAGTCTCTTTCCATTGAATATGCCACTCTCGATTTCAGCACTATCTCTGTAACATTAAATCAAAATGAACGTGTTTCAACCTCAATAAAGTCTCTCCATGAAAAATATGCAGCTTAATTTCAGAATTATATCCATAAACACTACTGTAAAATAAATATTATACAAATGCATGTACAAATATTTTGAATAACCTCTCCAAAATTATATATCTTTATATATGTATACTTGGGTTAAATTATCATGAAACAAACTCCCCCTGATCATCATGAAAATATGTCTTCTTTAAAAAAAAATGCGAAGCAAAATGTTGACAGTGACAGGAAATACACTACGGCGTTATTTACCTTGTTTATATTATAGTAAATGGGTGCTGGGCAGTAATTTTGTTCAAGATGATCAAGGAGAGGTTACTTATGATAATTTTGACCATTATTGGCAAGGCAAATGTGCCAAATGCCTCTGGCCACCATGAGTTAGCCCAGTAGAACAGGGTCCAAGGTTATAAAGACATACTCTTGGCTCTAACTCAAATCTCAGGTATTTGATTAGTCAGAAACTGCCACAGAATTACCACTGACCAATAAAAATCCTGAAATTTGAGACAGATCTAAGAAACAAATTTTATAACCTTGATGCCAGGCTTTATACTCTTTGCAACTCAATTTCTGTATTTTGATTTCCAACTCCCTTATACAAATGGACTGTCAAAATTTGAAGACTGGCAGAGTCCATTACACAAATTCAACAAGTTAAGGGTTAATTTGCATGTAATACACTGTAGTTACCATTTCATTTTGAAATTTGATTTTAAATCCCTCAAACTATGAATGGAATGTTCCAAATTCAAAGATTGGCATATTCCATTACACAGATTCAACAGGTAAAAGGGTTAATTGTCATGTCATAGTTACCATTTGGGTCTACTGGACCTGCATTAGCCTGCACAGTATGTTGCTGGTACTGGACATGCCCGTTTACATCTGGAACAGGATTTGGTTCGTCGGCCCTGTCTTTTATGTATGGAAACACCGGATGCTTCAGGTAACTAGGGAGAATAGGCAATGAAGCACCCTCGGCAGCATTACCAGAATCTGAAATAAACCTTATTAGGTAATATTTTCAGGTGAAAAACTCATTGTATAATACCAATAAAATCTTTAATCTGGAAGACATAAGTCATAAATTTTTGTTATCCCAGCTTAGATTTAAAAATTCTGATGAAAGTTTCAGGACAGGCACTGAAGCAGGTAACCTCCAAACATGGGTTGTCATCATTGTTTTACCCAAGGAAGTATATTTATGTTAATGGTGGTATTTGATTAAAAAGTTTACATATATGTTCAATAAAGATACATGCATAATGACATTTAATATGTAAAACAATAAAATACATAATTTTATATTCATTTACAGATAACTGATTCTCACAGTGGATCTGCTTTCAACCTCCATAAGATATTAATTAATTTACAAGTTTTGTTAGCAGATTTATAAATTGGAATATTTGTCATGAAATTTTTTCATTCATATCGGGTTTGAAATCAGACATTAAACATGTATGATATAGCCTTGGATCATCAGAATATTAAAATATGTATATTGCTCCAAAGACTTGAAACATTGAAAGTCTGGGAAGTTAATACCCTCCCTGCCAAACAGAATTTTGAAGCAGGAGTAAATATAATATTACTAGTACTTACAATCTAGAATATGGCGTATTTCTGCAGTGTTTGTCAACTGTGCTGCCAATTCTTTATTGGAATTCTGTATGGTTTTGTCAGCACCTTTTGATAGAAGATACTTGACAACTGCCACATGATTTCTCTTGCATGCCCAATGAAGAGCAGTCCTTTACAAAAAAATAGAAAATGAACTTTAATGATTTCATAACTACAATATGAAAAATGTTTTTTGTCATGCCCACACCTTCAAGTCATATTGCCACTTTCTTTTGTTTTCCTAAGGTGCCCCTCCTTGCATTATTACAGGTTAGTAGAACCACAGACTTTACAAAACCTAGCTACAAAGAAATTTTCTATATAATAAAGTTCTTTAAATAAAATACATAATTGGGCAATTACATGTGCATGAGTTTAATAACAAAAGTTAAAGTCCAAAAAAATGTGACATGACAGTGTTTTTTTTCTTTATATAACTACTACCCTAAAACGGTACCATTCCCAATAGAAAAAACACATTAAAATTCCCAAATTCCCAATTTCCAATGTTAAATTCCCAAACTGACTGTTCAAAATGCCCACAAGGCAAAGTGATTTTCCTAAAATCATTTAAATCCAACATATTCATATAAATCACCACTCAATAGTTCTATCTAGACAGTGGAAGCTGTTAGCTATCTTTATTCATGATGTCTAATCTCATTTGTAGCTGAAAAAATGCATTAAAAAAATTCCCAATTTTAGTCAAAATAACGCATTTTTTCCCAATCAGTCTGGTACCGGCACCATTCCCAAAGTAGAGAAAAAAAAACGCTGCATGAACATATTACTTCATGTTTTATATTTATTATTGCGACATGTTATTTCTGTTATCAAGGCGTTTCTTTTTCAACATAACATCAAAGTACATGGTACAAAGTAACATGGAAAATGACAAATGTAAAAAACAAGATTAATTAAGGATAAATGTGAAATAGGTTTAATGTATAGGTCATATAATTAGGCCTTGATGAGGTCCACATAGCTTATTCTCAAATTATGTAATCCCTCCCTCATACTTCAAAACTGTGTTATTGTATGATGAACAGATGATATGAATATATACCAAGAAGTTTTGTATATTACTGAGGCAAAATTAAATTAAAATTCAATAGATGTGAATTCATATAGGTATGCAGAAACACTGGTCAAATTTTATTGAAATTACCATCCATTTATGTTATTTTGTGAATTGATATTTATGTTGCCGTATTCGATCAACTTCTTAAGTTGATCAAGATCACCAATACAAGCTGATTCCCTTAGTTTTTCTTCTTTTTCTGCCTCTTGGTTCATTTTTCAATATTTTTTGTTGCAGTTGTCTGTTTACAAAATAGCATGAAGAGAATTTAACACAACACCGTCAGTGAGTGATTGTTACAAATGAATATTTTCACGATCACCGCAAACACATGTTTCAATTTATTTTTGTAAATAGTTTTCTATTTTTTCAATCAGATTGATATCATCTAGAATTGTCTATAGATGCATTATTAGTTGCCAAAGAATATGAGCCAGTTAAAATCAAGGTAACTTTAAAAATATAAAAGTTTAATCATTTCATGTATTGGTACAGTACTCGGATGTGAACACAAGTTATCTTGAATTATGTGTGACCTTTATTTCTGTGATTTTCATTGGGTTTTGCAGGAAATATCTTTTTACTCTTTGTAAAAGGCATTTTAACAAATTAATACGTCCCAGGGCATTATTACGGGGAAGTCAAAGACCAGGCCCGCGAAGCGGGTCCGGGCTTTAGCTTGCCCGGCTATAGACTACATGTGAATATTTAAAAGAAAATCAAATAAAAAACATTTTAAAAAATATATAGAATTCTATACCTATCAATAAAATTTTCAGTGTCAGTTCTAGTAGGGCGCCGCCATTTACAATGTATGTCAATAGGCGGGGTATTCCGATAACGGAACAAATCTCAACTTTTCGGATTAGTAATAATCGTCGAGTGTTCCGAGTGAAAACGGAAGTGGTGTATGTAATATCGAATGACACCTTTAAAACGGAAAGAATGAAAGGATTTTTTAAGGACTTCCCCGTTCATAGGCTTTGCCTAATTTCATATTATCGTTGACCATATATATATATATATTTAATCGGAGCCCAGAATCATCCTACAGGTATCCCACATTACATAGCTGTATTGGCGCCAGAGTGTTAAAAGATAAATATAACCCTTTCAAAATGGCCGTCCTGGAAAGATAATTAAATTTAACTCAAGAAAGTGAATAGCGTCATGTGTGCTAGAGGTGCAACGATACCTTTCGATGCATCGAAAACCGGTTTTATGAGCGCTGATTCGATTCCCGATACCAACTGTAACATTTTCGATTCGATTCCCCATCCAAAAATAAACATGGAAAAAAGTAAGAGTTTTAGTCTTTCCCTTCGCGCTTTATCACATTACATACGATTGGCCAGTTAAAACTCGGTCATCCAATCAGTGGGAGCGTAATGTTTTATTTTCGGCAAACAAGTCAAAATGGCTACCAACATCAATGTTGATAAAATAAAATTAAAAAATCCTACTAAAAAATTAAAATCAAAGGTTTGGGAACACTTTGGGTTTCGGGAAGGCCAGGACACGGATAAAGCTACTTGCAAAATATGCTTTACGGACGTGTCATATCCAAAGTCCGGCAGTAAGTCTAATTTAATGCAACATATGAAACGAAAACAAGATGTGGACTTGTTTGGTAAGCATGACATGCCTAGTTCAAGTTCAGCAAAAAGGTCTGTTTGTAACTTATCTGCTGATCAGTTGAAATTGACATATTATGGGAATTATAAACAGAAAATATGAATATCAGTTCTGACAACCTTGTGAAACTTTGTTCATTGTGAAACTTTGTTCATTATTATTTACTTTACAATTTACATACTTTGTTAAAATTCCTAGTCAGCAGAAGGTATCTGTGATAGTCATGTTACTGAGATTAATGATTATTTGCCTGATTAAAATTATTTTCCAAATAGACAAGAGCTTTTTATTCTCATAAACACAATTATTAAGTCAAAAAAGTTTATATAATAGTTATATTACAACAGAAAATCAAAGCACTAGGTTGAAGGCCACTCACTTTTGGAGCAGACAAGCAGAATTATATACCAAAGATAAATTAGTAATCAGAAAATTAGTCGAAAAAATCGAATCGGAGTGTCTAAAATCGAAATCGAATCGAACATTTAGTGTATCGTTGCAGCCCTAATGTGTGCCAGTACTACTTGCCAAAAGTTCTAGCCGAACATGAAACGCTTACAACACAGCATTTTTGTGTCGCCCGACATATAGGGATCACTTCTCCATTGTCTGTCTGTCTGTCCGTCTGTCTGTCTGTCCGCTCTCACAGGAGAGTAATTATGTGGCTAGAGGGACAATAGGTAACTGTTCTTTCTCTTTGATGTCATTCATTCCGTAATGCTTTTATGTGGCTATTTTCTTTTGTGTGGCTAAAAAGAACAATAGAGAGAACAATAGAGTAGCCACATAATTACTGTCCTGTGAGAACCTCCGTCTGTCTGTCACAAAACTTGTCCGGACTACTCCTCATAAACTACTGGTGCAATTTCATCCAAACTTTACAGGAATGATCATTTCCAAGTCTAGTTGTGCATATTTTCAGCATTTTACGGTTCAATGATTTTTATCAGAGTTATGGCCCTTTAATATTTTTTATTTTTAAAGTTTGTCCGGACTACTTCTCTTATAGTTATACCACTAATGCAATTTCAATGAAACTTTACAGGATTGATCTGTAGCTCAAGTCCTTGCGCATATTGCACGGGTTTTCCAGTTGAATGATGTTTGGCCGATTTATGGCTCTTTGATAAAAAAGGTGTTTTTTTCTGTGTGTTGCCAGATACACAAAAGCTTGTCCGGACTACTCCTCATAAACTACTGGTGCAATTTTATCCAAACTTTACAGGAATGATCAGTATCAAGTCTAGTTGTGCATATTGTCAGCATTTTCCGGTTCAATGATTTTTATACGCCCGTTTGAAAAACGGGACGTATTATGGGAACGCCCCTGGCGGGCGGGCGGGCGGGCGGGCGGGCGGCGTCCAATTTTGTCCGGAGCATATCTCCTACATGTATGGAGGGATTTTAATGAAACTTCATAGAAATGTTCACCACTATGAGGAGCAGTGTCGCGCACATGAACCAGGTCAAAGGTCAAGGTCACACTTAGAGCTCATTGAAAAATGCTTGTCCGGAGCAAAACTTCCACATGTATAGAGGGATTTCAATATTACTTGGCACATATGTTCACCATTGTGAGACGGAGTGTCGCGTGCAAGATTCAGGTCCTTGCGACCAAGGTCAAGGTCACACATAGAGGTCAAAGTTCAGATAAAAATATGAAGATGTGTATATGGACCATTTAGTCATCATTTATTGAGGGATTGTAACACAAATGGTCATTATCAAGACTATGGCTGTGAGACATATAATTTAGGTCAATATATACAAGGTCAAGGTCACTAAAGATGATGAAATATCCAGATTTTGTAAATAGAATTTAATCAAAGGGAGACAACAAAGTTATTACTTTGTTCATAAATGACTTACACAATTACTCCCCTTGATCTATTTTCATTTTCAATTCTAAAATAGAATTTAATCAAAGGGCATGAAATAATCCTCTTTCTTGGACTTGAGTATGTTCTAAAGAATGTAACATTTATTTACACATGTTTCATTCATTGGTCAAGATTCTTAACTGTGATAACTATGGTGTTCTGTAGACTTGGTATTTGTTCATAAAGATCATACAGTAATTACCTTATCAAATGTAAATACTTTCTCATAGAAATTTAATTATATTTTAATTTTCAAGTAAATATCAGTTCAGCTCATTCAAAGATTAAGAATTGTAATGAAATGTATTTCCCTAGAATAAAATCTTAAATCAGAATTTTTTAGTTATTAAATTACATGTACTTTTTATACGCCCGTTTAAAAAAAGATGAAAATATAAAGATGTGTATAGGGACGATTTAATCATCATTTATTGAGGGATTGTAACACAAATGGTCATTATAATGACTACGGCTGTGACACATGTACTTTAGGTCAATATATGCAAGGTCAAGGTCACTAAAGATGGTGAAATATCCAGATTTTGTCTGGAGCATATCTCCTACATGTATGGAAGAATTTTTATAATACTTTATGGAAATGTTCACCTCCATGCATGATCCAGGTCTCCAGGTCAAAGGTCAAGGTCACACTTAGAGCTCATTGAAAAACGCTTGTCCGGAGCAAAACTTCTACATTCATAGGGGGTTTTCAATATAACTTGGCACAAATGTTCACCATTGTGAGGCTGAGTGTCGCATGCAAAATTCAGATCCCTGCGACCAAAGTCAAGGTTACACATAGAGGTCAAAGTTCAGATAAAAATTTGAAGATGGTTATAGGGACCATTTAGTCATCATTTATTGATGGATTGTAGCACAAATGGTAACTATCATGACTACAGGTGTTACACATTTAATTTAGGTTAATATTTGCAAGGTCAAGGTCACTGGAGATGATTAAATATCCAGATGTTGTCCGGAGCATATTTTCTACATGCATGGAGGAATTTTAATGTTACTTTTATAGAATTGTTCACCACCATGAGACGTAGTGCCCTGCACTTAAACCAAGTCTCTAGGTCAAAGGTGAAGGTCACAGTTAGAGCTCATAGAAAAACACTTGTCTGGAGCAAAACTTCTACATGCATAGAGGGATTTCAATATAATTTGGCACAAATGTTCATCATTTTGAGGCTGAGTGCCGTGCATAAAATTCAGGTCCCTGCGACCAAGGTCAAGGTCACACATTCTGTGCATATCTTCCCTATTGATTTGTTTTAAGGTTCATTTAACAACACAGTGCCAAGAATAAAAACTTGCTTGCTAGATAACACTTATCCATAATGCCCCCATCTCCATCTAAAGCTTTTTCGTAAACGGGCGTATTTTGTGACTATGGCACCCTTGTTGTCAGAGTTATGACCCTTTAATAATTTTTATTTTTAAAGTTTGTCCGGACTACTTTTCTTAGACCACTAATGCAATTTCAATGAAACTTTACAGGATTGATCTGTAGCTCAAGTCCTTGCGCATATTGCAAGGGTTTTTCGGTTGAATGATGTTTGGCCGAGTTATGGCCCTTTGATAAACAGGTGTTTTTTTCTGTGGTTTGCCAGATACACAAAAGCTTGTCCGGACTACTTTTCATAAACTACTGGTGCAATTTTATCCAAACTTTACAGGAATGATCAGTACCAATTCTAGTTGTGCACTGTCCGTCTGTCTGTCCGTCTGTCACAAAACTTGTCCCAACATGAAATTGGCCATCATGAGGCGACACATGTGGTCACTGATCGCTCTTGTAAATAAATAAAAATTAACGCGCTAACTCACAGTTTTACAGCATTATTGATAAGAATTTAGACAAAGCCAATGAACTGAGAAAATAATATTTCATTTTTTATTTTACATTTTTTGTAATAGTTCATTTTTTATTTTATATTTTTCGTTTTAAAGGTTTCATTCGGTATTTCATGTGCCGCTTCCGTTTTCACTTTGAATACCTCGAAGATTATTATTAAGCCGAAAAGTTGCCATTGTTCTGTTATCAGAATACCCCGCCTTTTATCATTTTGTTAAATTAAAAAATGAAAACTAGATATGACACTGAAAATTTCACTGATAGGCAAGGCCCCCACGGTTATACGCTTAAACGGATTTGTTTCGATTTTCATTTGTAAATGTTGAGAAAATTTTTTTTGTTTAAAAAGAAAATGCCGTTTTCTTACAAAAAAATCTAGTTATTACTTTGTCCATGAAAAATTTTTTAGCTCACCCGTCAAAGTGACAGGTGATTTTGTATCGCTTTTCGTCCCGGGGTCCGTCCGGGGTCCGTAAAATTTTTTTTTAAACGCATTCCTCATAAACGCTGAGCCAAAATTTTCCAAAATTCCGGAATTTCTTTGGTGGTCATTAAAATTTGGGTTTAAGAAATTTTTTTCCAGCAGAATCTGGTGCCTGGCAACCAAAAAAAAAATTAATATCTTTTTAAAACATAAGAGCTGGTTAGTATTTTTCATGAAACTCTTTATGAGTGTTACAAGTTTGTTAAAAAAAAACCCCGGTAAAAAAGGGCCCTGCCCAGGGGGTCATTTAAATTTTTTTATAGCATATAGTAAAAGCTTAAAAATCTTCTTTTAAAGACCCAAAGAGCTAGAGCTAAGATATTTAGCATGAAACATGTTCTAATGGGTGTCTACCAAGTTTGTTCAAATAAAAGCCCTGGGGTCAAAAATTGGCCCCGCCCGGGGGGGTCATTGATTTTCCCTATTTGCATATAGTAAAAACTTAAAAAAATCTTCTTTTAAAGAACTCAAAGAGCTATGGCTAAGTTATTGAGCATCAAACATGTTCTAATATGTGTCTACCAAGTTTGTTCAAATAAAGCCCTGGGGTCAAAATTGGCCCCGCCCCAGGGGGTCATTGATTTTCCCTATATTGCATATAGTAAAAACTTAAAAAATCTTCTTTTAAAGAACCAAAAGAGTTAGAGCTAAGATATTTAGCATGAAACATGTTCTAATAAGTGTCTACCAAGTTTGTTTCCAATAAAAGCCTGGGGTCAAAATTGGCCCCCCCGGGGGGTCATTGATTTTCCCTATATGCATATAGTAAAAACTTAAAAAAATCTTCTTTTAAAGAACCAAAAGAGCTAGAGCTAAGATATTTAGCATCAAACATGTTCTAATGGGTGTCTACCAAGTTTGTTCAAATAAAAGCCCTGGGGTCAATATTGGCCCCCGCCCCGGGGGTCATTGATTTCCCTATATGCATATAGTAAAAACTTAAAAAAATCTTCTTTTAAAGAACTCAAAGAGCTATGGCTAAAATATTCAGCATCAAACATGTTCTAATAGGTGTCTACCAAGTTTGTTCAAATAAAAGCCCTGGGGTCAAAATTGGCCCCGCCCTGGGGGGTCATTGATTTTCCCTATATGCATATAGTAAAAACTTAAAAAATCTTCTTTTAAAGAACTCAAAGAGCTATGGCTAAGATATTTAGCATCAAACATGTTCTAATAGGTGTCTACCAAGTTTGTTCAAATTAAAGCCCTGGGGTCAAAATTGGCACCGCCCCGGGGGTCATTGATTTTCCTTATATGTCAGGGGTTTTTTTTACTAACAAATTGACACCGATAGTCGGCGTCTTCCCCTCGGTAAATAGCCAAGTTTTTTCCCCCAAAAAAATCTATTTTCCTTTAAATTGGATCAGATTTAATAATTACATGGTTTAAAATATTATTTTTCTTCATTTTATGCAGGATAAACCACCAATTGTTGTCCAAAATAACCAAAAACATTGCAGGAAACTGCAAGTACTGTCTCAACAGGTCTCAACATGGAGGCAGCCATTTTTTTTCTTGGCTATATCCCGTACTGAACGGTACTATTTCTGGAAATCAGTTGCTATCAAAATATTGTCATTTTCTTGGTTATTTTTAGTAAAGTAATATATTTTGTACTTCTTATTATGAAAATGACTTATATGGAGCCAAAGTGTGTCACAGATACACTATTATACCTATACTGTATTAACTTTCATATAAAAATAGAAGTATAAAAACCATTCACCACCATACATATTAAGAAAATATGTTATACTGCAAAGAATATTTTGCATGATGAAAAAGTTTTTAAGGGGAAAAAGATATAGTTGTAACTCTCTACTATGTAGTTAAGTATATAGTATAAATAACGTCATAATAAAGTTTCCCCAAATTGACTTTTTTCGTATATTTTTCCCCTCCCTACCAGCGTCCAGCGTCTTCCCCTTTTCCTAAAAAAAACCCCTGTATGTGTATAGCAAAAACTTAAAAAATCTTCTTTGAAAAAACCCAAATAGCTAGAGTTAAGATATTGAGCATCAAACATCTTTTAGTGAGTGTCTACAAAGTTTGTTCAAATAAAAGACCTGGGGTCAAAATTGGCCCCGCCCCGGGGGTCATTGATTTTCTTTATATGTGTATAGCAAAAACTTAAAATCTTCTTTGAAAAAACCCAAATAGCTAGAGTTTAGATATTAAGCAAGAAACATCTTCTAGTAAGTGTCTACCAAGTTTGTTCAAATAACAGCCCTGGGGTCAAAACTGGCCCGGCCCCAGGGGTGTCATTGTTTTTAACTATATGTGTATAGTAAAAACTTTTAAAAAATCTTCTTTTAAAAAGCCCAATGAGCTAGAGCTTAGATGTTTAGCATGAAACATCTTCTTATGGGTGTCTACCAAGTTTGTGCAAATAAAAGCCCTTGGGTTAAATTGGCCCGGCAACGTTGGGTGTGGGGGTTGGTGGGGGGGGGCCTATATACAGGTGAGCGACCTCAGGGCCATCATGGCCCTCTTGTATCAATTCTTATTGATTTATTCTCAGTAAAAAATATATCATTGACTAAAATATCATCTTGTTATGTAACTAAAAATAATTTAGACAATTGACAAATGCTTCTGATTTTTTTTTTAATGCCAGATTTCTGGATTTATGAGTATTAACTGTACATGTCATGTACATGTATATTAAACAAAAATAGGAGAGTGAACATACTTAGGCAGTTGGGGACTCTGAAAAATATATTTACTTAGGATTCCATCTTAGTGTTTTGGGTTTTTTATTGTATCAGAAAAATCTTTTAGTTTGCCTTCATTATTTTACTTTTAAGCTAGCCTATATATACAGAAAATATATGTTAGCCACATGTGACTCATGTAAACATGTTACCACGTAATGCTTGAGACTGTATTGCTAGTGGCTAGCCACTTCTTTAACTCTTATAGGATATAAAAATTGATGAAATCTTTACATTTCAGTTTTGCAGTGAAAAGCAAATTTGAAGCATTTTACACCGGTGGAAAAATCCAGGTAATGATTTGAATGAATAACTTTTCAAAAATGAAAAAATAAAATTGCATCTATTGCTTTTACTTGTATATTTGATATGAAAAACAAATCAAAAGCTTCTTCACTGTTTCGCCAAGAACAAGATTTGTAAGTTTTAATCATAGTCATTGTACATGTTATGATATGGCCTAGAGATATTTATGTTGTGAAAAGAAACTCTGAGATATATTACGGTAATTAGTAAAGAACTAAATTTAAAGAATTTTTTATGCTCCCCGAAAAATTTCGGGGGAGCATATAGTCGGCGCCTTGTCCGTCTGTCCGTCCGTCCGTCTGTCCGACCGTTGTCTTGTCCGGAGCATAACTTGAAAACCCTTGGAGATAATTTGTTGAAACTTCATACAGTGGTAGAGGGCATCGAGGGGGAGTGCAGTGTCAAAGAACCATAACTCTATTTTGCCCGGTTTTTGAATTATCTCCCCTTATAGAAAAATCTTGTCCGGGGCATAACTCTAAAACTATAAGAGATATCAACATGAAACTTTGTAGGTGAATAGATCTCAATGGGTAGATGTGCAGTACATAAGAACAATAACTCTTTTCATCCTAATTTTGGAGTTATTGCCCTTTGTTAATTTTAATACTTTGAACTTTGTCCGGAACATAACTTGAAAACCCTTGGAGATAATTTGTTGAAACTTCATACAGTGGTAGAGGGCATTGAGGGGGGGTGCAGTGTCAAAGAACCATAACTCTATTTTGCCTGGTTTTTGAATTATCTCCCCTTATAGAAAAATCTTGTCCGGGGCATAACTCTAAAACTATAAGAGATATCAACATGAAACTTTGTAGGTGAATAGATCTCAATGCGTAGATGTGCAATGCATAAGAACAATAACTCTTTTTGTCCTAATTTTGGAGTTATTGCCCTTTGTTTATTTTAATACTTTGAACTTGAACTTTGTCCGGAACATAACTTGAAAACCCTTGGAGATAATTTGTTGAAACTTCATACAGTGGTAGAGGGCATCAAGGGGGAGTGCAGTGTCAAAGAACCATAACTCTATTTTGCCTGGTTTTTGAATTATCTCCCCTTATAGAAAAATCTTGTCCGGGGCATAACTCTAAAACTATAAGAGATATCAACATGAACATTGTAGGTAGATAGATCTCATTGAGTAGAGGTGCAGTGCAAAAGAACCATAACTCTGTTAAGCCTTATTTTTGAATAATCTCCCCTTTTAGAAAAATCTTATCCAGGACATAGCTGTAAAACTATAAGAGATATCAACATGAAACTTTGTAGGTAGATAAATCTCAATGGGTAGATGTGCAGTGCACAAGAATCATAACTCTACCTTGCCTAATTCTGGAGTTATTGCCCTTTGTTTATTTTTACTTTTTGAATTGTCCAGGACATAACTCGGAAATCATAAGAGATATCATCAAGAAACTTTGTAAGTTGATAGATCACATTGATTAGAAGTGCAGTGCAAAGAACTGTAACTCGGCCTTGCCTAATTTTAGAATTATTGCACTTTGAACTTTTTCCACGGACATAACTCTGAAACTTCAAGAGGTGTACTTTCCTGTGTCCAAAACCTATTCGGGGAGCATCACCCGGCTCAAACCGGGCTCTTGTTTATAATTAATATCATTATAATTATAATTTATATATTTGCATAAGTAATAGTGCTTGTATTGTTTTAAGTAAAAATTCAATTCAAACTAATCTACAGATATCGTCAGATGGAGGGTATATGTTTTGTGGGTGTGGTAACAGGATTAATGTCCTAGATGTTGAAACAGGCAAAGTTCATGTGACCATTGGTCAGGATGAAGATGAAGAAATTACAAGTTTTTGTTTAAGTCCAAATGATCAGGTCAGTATAATTAGTCACTTTGAGCATCTTTGCTAAAATTGCATATCTATATCAGTTTAGATTTGTTATCCTGGACTGTAGTATGATGAATCTTTGAGCATCTGTGGCAATAAATACATTCCCATGCAACCAGTGAAAGGCCAGGCTAGCCAGTATTAAAGTTCAATCAAGGCTCACATTTTTATGTTTTGAAAGCAATTACCTACATAATGTCCATTTTGAGATGATAAGTAGCCTTAAACTTGGAAAATGCAATATTGAAGTACCTATCAAGCTATTGGAATAATTTGCTTAAAGAGCTTTAAACAGTCAATCGCTACAGGGACTTGAAAATTATTTTTGTATGAAAGCTATCTAGCAACATAGAATTTACATCAGTGGTTCTACTAAACTGCAGCATTTTGGATAAAATAGTTCATTGAGGTGCACCCAAGGTCTTGCTGTACTAGAAAAGTTGGTATTTTGTCACGTGGGCTTTAAAATGTTGATATGACTGAAAAGACAAACCAAACTGGGATACACAATACATTAGAGGTGTAACGATTCATCTATGCATCGATATATCGCGATCTGCCCTGTCTTCGATGTATGCATCGTAATGAATTTATAAATTCCAATATATCAGGATGCAATACATATTTCACCACCCGATTCATCGATATAGCGGGAAAGTATCGCAATACACTAATAGTTATGGTATAATGAAAAATACCTTTAATCCTTTAGTAAAAAGTAAAAATCGTTAAGTAATAAGTAATGTAAATTGTTGAAAGATCAAAACTTGAAAATAAGTTATAATAACAAGTTGTAGAATTTATTGTTTGTTATTGTAAAAGTTTTATATAACATTCGTTAATATTATGCTGTGAACAAATGACCAAGTTTTTTATATAGATAAAGTCTGAAAGTCTGTATTGTGATACGTATTGCATCGAAACATAAAAATCGCAATATGCATCGGATTTTATCAAAGTATGCAATACATATCGTGAATCGCATCGTTTGGAAATGCAAGTATCGTGATATGTATCGTGACAGAAAAAAATGGCGATGCACAGCCCTACAATACATGTATATCACATCACCTCCTCCGTGGTCGAGTGGTTAGAGTCGATGACTTCTAATCCAGTTACCTCTCTGGGGTGGGTTCGATCCCCGGGAGATGCTTTGGTAGTTTAGCGCGGAGCAATATAGTCTAGTACTGGTGTAACTCTCCAGGAACGATGGTTAGGAAACTACCCGCCTATATGACTGAAATACTGTTGGGAAAAGGCATAAAATCAAACAAACAAACAAATTATGTATATCTCAATTACTTTATTATACATGTACAAACTATTTCAAATTTCAGTATGTTGTTATAGCAACTCAGCAGTTATTGTTACGACAATGGGACTGGAAAGCTCAGAAACTTGTGAGGACATGGAAGGTAAGTGTCCATAACTTTCTGACCATGATTTGTGATTTAGAGAAAAGTGCCTCTGACATTTTGAGAGAAAATAAACATTGGATTTAGGTATTTTCATAGCCTTACATGAATGTAGTGTATATTTCTTTCAATAATTCAAGTATTTTAGAGCAGCAACTGGCAGTAGACAGATTTCTTTTCAATGATTACAATTGAGTGGAATTAACAAATGAATTAAAATTGGTTTTAAATTTTTTTTCAGGCTATACATTTTGCACCTATAGTATCAATGGCATTTGATTGTACATCAACATTGTTGGCTACTGGTAGTGCAGACTCTACCATTAAATTATGGGATGTGGAAAAACAGTACTGTACCCACAATCTACGGGGACATCAGGGCATTATCAGGTATTTAAACCTATAGCTTTTCTGTGTTTTATGTAGAAAACACTTTAAAGTGTATTTTTCAATAACCGAAAATGACGATCAACCTCAGTCTTATAAGGTCAAGGTTTGCAGACAGGTCAAAGGATTATTGTTTAATTTGAGCTGACTGGAAAATTGTTAAAACGGCAACTGATGGTATACATGTATCTCTAACATAAAAGCTTGAGTTGCAAGGATAAAGTCAGATCTGTGATACATTCTATTAAGCAATACATGTATTCAAATTATTTTAAAGAAATTACATGAGGTTTATTTATAAGTTGTACCAGAAGTAGCACTAGTTAAAGTTATAGTCAGTCTTCACAACTAGGTAATGGAAGAGATGATCAGTATTATTTTTCGATTGAATGTACATATCAGATCATCATTATACCCCCGCACAACAAAGTTGTAAGGGGGGTATACTGGAATCAGCTTGTCCGTCCGGCTGTCCGTCCGTCCGGCCGTCCGTCCGTCGGTTTTTTCTTGTCCGCCCAATAACTTAAGATTCCTTTGACCCACAGTCTTAATATTTGGCATGGAGGTTAGTCATGATTAGTAGATGACCCCTATTGATTTTGAGGTTACTAGGTCAAAGGTCAAGGTCACAGGGGCCTTGACTTCAAAAAGCTTGTCCGCCCAATAACTTAAGATTCCTTTGACCTACAGTCGTCATATTTGGCATGGAGGTTAGTCATGATTAGTAGATGACCCCTATTGATTTTGAGGTCACTAGGTCAAAGGTCAAGGTCACAGGGGCCTTGACTTCAAAAAAGCTTGTCCCCCCAATAACTTCAGATTCCTTTGACTTACAGTCGTCATATTTGGCATGGAGGTTAGTCATGATTAGTAGATGACCCCTTTTGATTTTGAGGTCACCAGGTCAAAGGTCAAGGTCACAGGGGCCTTGACTTCAAAAAGCTTGTCCGCCCAATAACTTCAGATTCCTTTGACCTACAGTCGTCATATTTGGAATGGAGGTTAGTCATGATTAGTAGATGACTCCTATTGATTTTGAGGTCACCAGGTCAAAGGTCAAGGTTACAGGGGCCTTGACTACAAAAAGCTTGTCCACCCAATAATTTAAGATTCCTTTGACCCACAGTCTTCATATTTGGCATGGAGGTTAGTCATGATTAGTAGATGACCCCTATTGACTTTGAGGTCACCAGGTCAAAGGTCAAGGTCACAAGGGCCTTGACTTCAAAAAGCTTGTCTGTCCAATAACTTAAGATTCCTTTGACCCACAGTCTTCATATTTGGCATGGAGGTTAGTCATGATTAATAGATGACCCCTATTGACTTTGAGGTCACCAGGTCAAAGGTCAAGGTCACAGGGGCCTTGACTTCAAAAAGCTTGTCTGCCCTATAACTTAAGATTCCTTTGACCCACAGTCTTCATATTTGGTATGGAGGTTAGTCATGATTAGTAGATGACCCCTATTGATTTTGAGGTCACCAGGTCAAAGGTCAAGGTCACAGGGACTTTGACTTCAAAAAGTTTGTCTGCCAAATAACTTTAGATTCCTTTGACCCACAGTCTTCATATTTGACATGGATGTTGATCATGATTAGTAGATGACCCCTTTTGATTTTGAGGTCACTGGATCAAAGGTCAAGGTCAAATGGACTTTGACTTCAAAAAGTTTGTCCACCCATTAACTTAAGATGCCTTTGATCCACAGTCTTCATATTTGGTATGGATGTTGATCATGACTATAATGTGACCCCTTTTGATTTTGAGGTCACTGGGTCAAAGGTCAAGGTCACAGGGACCTTGACAAAAAAAGCTTTTCTTCTCAATTGCTAAAGAATGTCCTGTCCGCAATGTATTGATTTTGACATTTTCACATTTGAAGCATGTAGAATACATAACTTAGCAATGCACTGGCATAGTAACCTCAGATTTGGCAGGGAGGTTGTCCTTGAGCTCTAAATGGCCACTGTTGATTCTGACAAAGTGGTATGCGGGGGTATTCACGCCATGATAGTGGCAGTTCTAGTTTTTTTAAAAAAATATTTAGAAGTGATAATGATACAGTAGGCTCCTTTATACGACAAATATATTATGATGATGTTGAAGTAAATTAACCCTTATATTATATTGACTATTGTTATTTGTATGTTCTTTTCTTAGTGTTGTTGCCTTCCATCCGGATATTTCACGCTTGCTGCTGTATACTGCTGGTGAAGACTACAAAATACGAGTATGGGACTTGAATACTAGTAAATGTTTAGCAGAAGTGGCGGCACATTACAGTCTTGTTACAAGTGTTGATTTCTCTGCTGACGGTTCAAGTATATACACGTATGTGTTACTGGTTTTATTTTCTGTTAGGTTTTACATAACACTTAAAAAGATACAGTAAGGACTTAACTGTTTGTATCATACTGGAGATGTAGTGTTGACATCAGCTTTTGCGCAACATTTGGTTAAGATCCTGCAGGCACAATACTTTTCTTTAAATCTACCATAGATATTCACTTAAAACTAAACACCTTAAGGTTATGGCTTTTGGTCACCTACCAAGACCCATGATTCTACAAGATACAATTCTACATTATTACCCAGGGATCGAAAATTCTTTTCAGAGCCACTCGTCCAGGCTTCAAATTTCTACTTGTCCTGCCTGCTTTGCTACTAGTCCTGCATTTTTGCCTCGATTATAAATATAAACTTCTCCGATGCAATAGTACCTCGCGGATGCAAATAAACCGCTAAAACTTCTAATAATCATTTTCTTTCGACAAGTGGAATTTTCAAACCCTGTTACTTTTTGTTAAGTAAGGTCCTGGCTTAAAAAAAGCATTTCATATGATTTCAAAATTAAGCATTTCTGTAAAAATGTTTTTTGTTCTCCACAAATAGGACTGGTAGAGATGGGGTGGTGAGGATATTGGACACAAATACGCTAACAATCAAGAAAACTATACCAGTGTTTGAGGTAAATGGTTAGAAAATAATATGATAAAAGCTTTAGACCTATTTGAACCATTCTTGTATCTGTGTTTTTAGAATAATTGTTCAAATGAAAAAAAAATAGTATGAAAGCCTTTAATAACTGATATTTGGCAGAGATAATAAGGAAAATTTTAACATTAAAACATTCAAATTTTTTTAAAGATTATAAAAAAGCACTGTCTTATAAAAAGCTTGTTATGTCTTAATTTTGAGTTAGTTTGAGAAAATCAACATATTTGTAGGACGTAATTTTCAACATTTGATACAGGAATTTTTACAGTTCCGTCAAAAGGTCTCCTTTTATACAATAAAAATCACTATCTGTTCTTGACAGCTTGTGGTCTTTTTCAGAGGTTTGACTTTTAGCATACAAAAATAGACACTCAACCTTGCAATTCATTTTATGCATTGTAATAATAAATATTTTATTGTTTGGATAAAAAAATAAAAAAAACATTTTGATGTATAATTAGGTCATTGAGTCAGTGGTGCTTCTTCCAGAGAATGTAGAATATCCAGCCATTAATGTAGATGGTGAAAGTATATATTTCATAACAGCTGGTAATAAAGGTATGTACATGTTGTAAGGAGAGTATAGTTATAAAGATCATAGAGATGCGAGTTTTCCCTTAGACATTTGTTTACCGATCAAAGATCTGGCGATATGCAGTATGTCGTATCCTAGGGAAAAGTATAAGTCATCCCTTACTTATGATAAGAGTGTGGAGATGTTTGTAATTTACATATGGTTAAGGAAATACTGGTCCAGTATCCATAGAAACTTGTTTGATATTAATTGCCCATTGATATATATTTAAAGAAAGGTTGTGAACTTAATATAAATGTGTAGGTCTTTCTATATATTGTACTGTGTTCTATTGCTGTTCTATTGATGGTTTATGCCAGAAACTGATGTTAAACCCAAAAGCATTAGAGAGTCTGGCTATACAAATTTTAATGTGATCATATGACATCAGACACACTTGTTTACTTTCTGCTGTTGTCCATAAACTTATACAGAATTGTGATACTTGTGTGCTCTGAAAAACATCCAAGGGCATCCATGGCCAAGTGGTTAAGGTTGTCAACTTCAAACAACTTGCCCCTTGCCATTGTTGGTTTGATTCCCAACAGGGACTTTAGATTTTTTCATGTGAGGAAGCAGTCCTGCTAGCTTATGGAATGTCGTTGGTTCTACTCAGGTGCCTGATCATGCTTAAGATAATGCACAAAGGAGCTACTGACTCTTTTCCACCAGTAAGGCTATAGAAACAGTTTAAGATTAGTCTACAAACTAAATGATATAATGCTTTCCATAATGTGATAAAAAGTATATTCAAGAGATATTATAATGATTATGATTTTGTTATTGATAATTTTCTCAGGTAATTTACGACTTTGGAATTCTGATTCTGGAAAATGTGTGTTCACGACTGATGTTGTCAATGCCACAAATCAGATCACTGTCGACAGCTCCGACTCGTCTAAAACCGACAGCGATAGTCAGAATATTGTACAGATGATTTATAACAAACAGAAGAATAATGTTACCGTGGTAACGTTTGACCAGAACATTTCTATATTAGGACTGGAAAAGCTCAGGTTACAGAAACAGGTAAGAAATTGTAAAATGCTTTCATTAAAAGAAATTAAGAATTGATAAAAAAAGTCGTACTTTTCTTCCTTTATAGCACACGATTTTGCATGATTAATACTTTGTTGAACACATAAACATATCCTCAGCTCTCTTGAAACATAATCTCAACCTCTTGAGTCCATTTGTCTGTCTATATGTGAAATAAAAAAATATATATTTACATTAGTTAGAATTAATAGGCGTGCATAAATTTTGTTTTAATTCCTCCAAAGGACAGTACAGTTATTTCATGTGAAGAAGCTACTTTGCAAGCTTTTTAAAATTCAATACTCAGGTACTCAATACCTCTTTGCGCAGTGGCCAGATGTCTACACTTCAAAAATTAAAGCTGAAATGTTGATCATTGCCTTAAGACTGTTACTCAAGTCAGTTTGACTTTAAACAACAAGAAATTAACAGAATTTTATACGTTTTGTAGTTTGCAGGAAACAATGACGAGATATTGGATGTGAAGTATTTTGGCGAGGATGAAAAGTTCGCTGTAGTTGCCACCAATAGTATGCATATTAAAGTGTTCCAGTTGTCAAACTTTGATTGTGAGATTCTGTACGGACACACGGACATTGTCATGTGTCTTGATGTGGTACACAAGTCGGATATGTTTATCACTGGTGCCAAGGTTAGACTTAAGTTAAAATATATAAGTAGATTGATGGATGGGTGCAAAACGGACATAACTCCTTCATTATGTAATATGAGTTACAGCTGTTTTGCACCAAACCCTGAAATATTTCAAACCTTAGAATGATGTCATAAGTAAATGAAGTCATATACATGCTGTTGTAACTTAATTGCTGTTGCCAGTCGGCTGAAAAAGCATGTATTTATGTAATTTAGGAAGATGATTTAATTCATTTTGGATCATTTCATTAATGTATGAGTGTATGTATTCATTATTTAATTGGTTAAAGACAGTGTAGTTTCTGACATAAGTATTACAAATTCTGTACAAATGTTAAAATGGTATTGTGGATATAAGTATAATGACTTGTTAATTCATCTTCAGTTGAATGACGGTTTAAATTTTGCAACGACAGTTTAGATTTTGAAAAAATGTAAATAATTACACTCTATAGCTTGTTCAAATATCAGTTTGAGCGTGAAGACTGCTTGACATCATTGCCAAAACATTTATACTTACCTATTCTCAAGTTTAGGACTGCAAATCATAAGTTCCTTGTTGAAACTGGCCATTGGTCTAATATCCCATATGTTAATCGAAAGTACCTACTATGCCAAAATGACTTAGGTGATGAGTTCCATTATTTGATGGTTTGTAATTATTTCACTCCTGCATTAATGTCAGTAATATATTTTCTTTGTTTAGGACAATACTGTAAGGGTGTGGAAAATTAACCCAGCTGTGAAGCAGGTTTCTTGTTTGGCCATAGGTCAAGGTCATACACATGCTGTGGGTGCCATTGCAATGTCAAAGTAAGTTAGAAGGCTATGATAATTTCTAAATCTTAAAATATATATGCTGTAATGCATGATTAAATTTAAAATGCCCTGTGTTGAAGGTAGCAGTAGTAAAGTTTGTATGGCATAAGTCTGTCAAGCAATGGCTCATATGTTCAAATCATTCTCCATTTGCAACCATGTTTCTGTATATAACATCAGAATTAGTTAAAAATCTTTTCTTTGTATTCATGCTGAAGCAAATGAAGTAAATTTAGATGTTTTGTTTGTCTAAGTTCCTTGACTTGTCTAGTACAGTATTTAGTTTTTCAGTTTCATTTATCAGTGCAGCTCATTTTCTGTCAGTTGCTTGATTTTGCCAATTCTTATAGATATGAGGAATATTTCTTTTGAAATTGATCTTGTGACATTTTGACAAATTATTTATTGACAGGGTAAAACCAAAGTTTTTTGTGAGTGGTAGTGAAGACTGTACCTTGAAATTATGGCTGATGTCAGATGTCCTTGACCCTTCCGTAACCAAGGAGATGCATGCAGCTGTCACTGAGAAAGCCCATGACAAGACAATTTGTTCTGTTGTTGTTGCTCCAAATGATAAGTTTATTGCCTCGGGTTCTATGGATAAAACTGCCAAAGTAAATTTATCTTTATGCCTTAAATTGATAAATTGTATGAGTGCATGGGGCATTTTGTTTCTGTCTGATTTGTTTGTTTGTTCCCTGCAGATAATCATAAATTAAAGATATACTATGCTCATCTTTGGGTAAAATATTTTTATTTTAGGAATGCATTGAAATCCATGAAATTCTTACTGAATATGTTTAATTTGAATAAAAGAATGAATAAACTATGAATTGGAAGCTGCATTCTGTATTACAGGTCAAGTAAAGTTGATCTCTTAAAAAAACTGCCAGTTCGACACTATATATTCATATTGAGTCCACCTATAGTGTGTAGATTTCAAAACATAACATATCTACTTTAAATGAAGTCGAAACATGTTTATTTTATACATATAAAGAGGCTGTATAGCAATTATCAATATTTTCAAAAATCAAATTTGAGCATAGTATATCTTTAAACTTTAGCCGTGACATCTTCATTTCTTAAAGCTAGTGCTTTTATATTTTTGGATGGACCACATATTGATATGACCATAACCTTATAGCCCAAGGGCTTTATTTTGACTTATTGAAATATGACCATAACCTTATAGGTAAATTATTTTAAATTTAGATTCAGAATTTTTTTTGTATGACAAAATTTCTCCATTACAATTTATCTTGGACAATGAGTCTAAAGTTCATTTGTCACTCTTGATTTTGAAAGTGTGGGATAAGTTGTTGGTCACTTGTGGAGAAATTTGTAGTGAGTTATCAAGGAAAGCCTGTTAGGTGGATCAACCTTCTGAAATATGAACAAAAAATAAAAAATCACTAAAAAAAACTTTACAAATAAGCAAAACAGTGTATTGCAAAGAAATAATGACAAGGTTGCCATGCCTTTAAGCACTTGTGATCCCAATTTATTTATTCACAAGTAACTATATACTTATAAATTTCAGGAATAAAAATTACCATATCTGCTAGTGATAACAATGTTCTTTTTACAGTTATGGAAGGCCAGTGACCTGTCATTAATTGGTGTGATGAGGGGACACAGGAAAGGTATTTGGTGTGTACAGTTCTCACCAGTCGATCAGGTTAGAAACATGTTTTACTTTGTGTCGAGAATTACATTTACTACGAGTTTTGATGTATTAGTGTTTGTAAATAAAATTTGTGAAGTTTTTATTGTTTATACAAACAATTTATTTCTTAAAACATATCGAGAAACAAATCTTTTGAAAGGAAGATTAAAGACATTGGTACTTGAAATCACAATAAAACAGATTGACTTGTTTAAAAAAAAAACCAAGAAAGAGACTTAAAGTGACCTTATGCCCATTTAAGGGTATATAGTGAGTGGAACAGGCGAATATCAAAATCAGTTTTCGTTTTGCAATAATTCCTTTTAATTTAATAGTTTACTTCCCATAAACAATAAATAATGCACAGATCCAAATAAAATTGTTGTAAATATCCATTAGAATTTTCCTCTAACGCTCAGTTTATAAAAAGAGTGGGGCAGTCTTTTTTAGTCTTTTTATATTTTAGGCAGATTTATTATGTTATCCTGAACGTTTTCTAATATCAACTGTTGGTCAAACACCATTTTAACAGTCAATCTTTTGAAATATAAAGTCAATTCAGCTCAACTTGACTATGAAAATATGAGCATAATGTCACTTTAATGCAGAAATTAGGTTTAAGAACTTCAGATATTCATCAACAAGTTTATTTTCTACAGATATTAGCTACTTCATCTGGAGATGGGACAGTGAAATTATGGTCACTTTCAGATTTCTCTTGTGTCAGGGTAAGAATTTGATAGTCTTATTTCAAGAGATTTCATCAAGAGTTCAAGTAATCAAAACAGTGCATAGTTAGTAGTTATAGTTGTATTAGTTTAACTGGGGAAACTTTGTGATCTTGATACAGAAGTTGATGTGTCAACCTGTAACAGTGAACTGTCTTTGGCTTAAATGACTTTTGGAATTTAAAGTCACACTTATCCACAAGTTTGAGTGGCAGGTGACTTGAAGTAAAGAAAAAAATTAAACACTTGGCTACAGATACCCTATAGTTTTGATCTACAGTACATAAAAAGAACTGTGACCAATTTCATAAATTATATAAACCATTGCATTTTTACTAGGAAATTTACCTTTCAAAATTCACATCATCTTCACAGGCTATATCTCTATTGAAAATATTAACATACATGTTAAATTTCATTTTAAAGTTTTCTTGAAAGTAATTCAAATTCATAGAAAACTTTAACAGATTTTTAGAAAAAATGGAAATGGTTGCCTCTCTTATGGAATGGAAAATGGACAATATTATAACAGGTAGAAATGATTTGTTTGCTATATTTCAGACATTTGAAGGTCATGATTGTGCTGTTCTCAAAGTCACATTTGTTACCAGAGGGATGCAGTTATTGTCTAGGTATTGATAATTTTCAATGTCTTTGTTACGTATGCTGATCAGCTTTAAATTTTTATCTTGATATCTTCAAATTTAATAATTGTAATTGAAAGTTGCCACAAGAAAAGGAATCTAAACATGTTTATTTAAGAAATTTAGCATGTTATGGTTTATTTAGACCACTGGGGGTGACTATGAGGGTCATAATTTTTTATTGTGTATTACGTTACCAAGGTAACTGTATGATAATTCGTCTTCACGACAAGCCGGTTACACGGCTTTATCTTTTGTTTTCTTATTTGAGACAGATCTCCCCTTCAAGTGATATATAATTCATGCCTTTTTATCAATAATTCTCACGACAATAACTGCAGTGCACAAATTTTTTGGACAACTCTCATATAAATGACTAGACATGCTAACATAAGAATTGTATTACTTTCAGTGGCACAAATGGTTTAGTGAAACTATGGACCATTAAGAACAATGAATGTGTTAAAACTATGGATGAACATGATGATAAAGTATGGGCTATGGCTGTGAACGATGCTGGTGACAGTTTCATTACTGGTGGCGCAGACTCTAACCTTATCATTTGGAAGGTATTAATAGAAATTATTTTATATCTTATTAAGATATAGACAGACTTCAAGTGAATTTAGATATAATTTGCTTAGTGCAAAACACATTTGATCTACTGTCATATCCAGAATGAACTTATATTTTTTAAACATGATAGATATATTAATTGCATTGTTTTAATTCTTATAATAGGGAAACAATTAGCAGTAAGGTCCATGTCAGAACCATCAGTCTCTTTAATAGTGACAGCTGTGTGAATGATATAGATAATGATAAAATTGATGTCTAATTTTAGGATGTTACAGAAACAGAACAGAATGAGGTCCGTGAGAAACAAGAACAGTTCATCTTACAGTAAGTCATCTTTATGCTGTAATACATGGATTTCCTTAGCTTTGAATTCCAAATAGTCCATTCATAGTGTAAGGGATTTCAATATCAAAATACAAAAATTCAGCCACTGATAGTATAGAGAGCCTAATTATTTTTGCACAGACATGCAGGCTGGCATGGCACTACAGTGGTGGGAAAGGCTAATCTTTGTTGGTCCCAGCAGGTTATGGGGCTAAGGAAAGGAGTAGCTAAAACCTAACAATATTAAAGAAAAGAAAAAAAAACACACATATTACTTTTCATTCTAAGATTAGATAGTCTCTGTATAATAGAAAGAGTACTCTGGTATTATGGAAAAGTTTACAAGATATCAATCAGTTTGTTGATATTATAATTACGTAGTTTAATTATTTTTTGTAGTCAAACAAAAATTGTTATTTTACAGAGGTCAGGAGTTATCTAACTTGATTCAGCAAAAGAAATATTTGAAGGCAATTGGATTGGCTATTACTTTGGAACAACCATTTAGACTTCTAAATATTCTTAAAGGTTAGTTTATAAATTTTTAATGTTTAACGTTTGTTTTTGAAAAAGAAAAATTGAAAATGTATACTACGGTTGATAATGTCTAAATTTGAAAATGTATTCTACAGTTAATAATATTTTCCAAACTTGAAAAATGCCATTCTTTCTCGGAAGTGTGTGAACTAACTTTGTATCAATTAGAGTGCATGCAAAGGTTACTTTGTAAGGGGAAAAAAGATAAAAGTATGCCTATAGAACAACTTTTTCATATATCAATGAACTTTATATAGAAGTTATACATGTGACAATTCTTCAGGCTTTAACTTTGTATATTTTGGAAATGGATTTTGTTCAAGAGTGAACTGTTAATGATGACAAATCACTGCGCAAATTTGAAGCAAGTGCTATGTAGAGCCCTCAAACGAGTGACTCCTGGCACTTGCAATGTGAAATGTGATTCTGAAACCATTCCTGAAGCTCATATTAAAACCATTCCTGTTGCTTTTACTGAAATTTTTTGGAGCTTTTATTGAAATGCTTTTTAATCCGTAACTGAAACCATTACAAAAGCCTTCAGTGAACCCATTACTAAATTGGGAACAGTGCAGTCCAAGATCAGCCGGCACGTCCATGCTGCCTGGTCTGTACTGTTTGCTAATCAGTTAGTACTTATTTTGAAATTTTTGTTTAAAATGGTGAATGGTTTTGTTGAAGTTGAAAGGTGGACAAGTTCATTTAAGATATTTAGCTGGATAAGGGTTAACTAATCTTCTGTGTGGAAATATATAACAACAGTTTTTACAGAGGTTTACGTTACAGCTTATTAACATTTATCATTTTATAATGTTTTAGAAATACTGTCAGAAGAGGGAGGAAATGATAAGTTATTCAGTACACTTCAGAAACTCAGGATGGACCAGATTGGTAAGTTTTCATTTAAAGGTATTACCTTTGGTTATATATTATTGTTCGAGTCTGTCAAGGGAAAGTGATTAACATCATAGTCTTGGAATCTCTTGTAGTTCATTTCTTAGCTTAATCTTATTTATTGATTTGCATATTTGGTTGTGAAACAAGTTTTTGCGACTGACTTTATTCTCTTTTGTGCAAAAACTTGTTAAAAATGGCGTAAGAACTAGATACTAGTAATGAAACAAACAAACTAAATGTGTTAAATGACCTTTGATCTTTCTTTTCCCCTTCATTAGACGCATTGCTGAGATTTGCAGTGAAGTGGAACACTAATAGTAGGCACTGTCATGAGGCCCAGGTCATTATTTCATCCGTTCTGAAGACATATCCACCTAAACAGTTACATGAACTTGGAAACCTGAAGTCATCAGTGGAAGGATTACTACCCTATACAGGTAAACCTGCTCAATTTCTGTAATGAAATTACTATGCTTTTAATTTGGAACAGTCCATTAAAGGTTTTAAGGGTCGTCATCCTAATGAGAGATTTCAAAAAGGGGAAAGAAAATGAAAAGAATTGAGCTACCACCAATATACCAATGGTATAGAGACTGGTGGGAAGGCTTATCACTTTTGGTTCCAGCAGGTTACCTCCAGATTTGTGTAAATTTTGATGGAATATTTTTAGATTTTTCTTATTAGTAAGACTGTTGTCAAGTGTATACACTGTTTGTATATTGTACAAGTCACTTACTGTTCACAGGAATAACATACATTTATAACATATAAAAATTTACAGAAATTGTCCAGACCTAAAAATGTTTAAAAATTTGCAGAAGTTGACCTAAGTTCTATTTTCTCTCATATGCATCAACTTGATCAAGCATGCAAAATGTAATGCTTTTGAAATTAATTTTAAAAAAAATTAGTATTTTTGGGTTGATTTAAATTACCGGTATCAGATTTAAAAAAAAATCCAGTTAGAATCAAGTACATCTTGATTGTGTTTCTTTGACTGTATTTTATACAAGTTAATAAAAAATATATATATACAAATGTACATGTGTATCTTTTATTCCAGGGCGTCATTTTAACAGAATGTCTCGTCTTGTACAACAGTCAATGTTCTTGGAGTATACATGGCAGTGTATGAAAGGCATTAGCTCTCTACAGTAAGTGTTATATATTTATCACTCTTTATACCACCCTATCAATAGATATATTAGATCAGATACACATTTTCAAATTTGTGACAGGGCATTTTCTTTTGTGTTTTATGAACATATCTTACATTTCCAATGGCACTTTTCTCTCATACCTTAAAAGTTAGATTATGCCAATCCAAGTGTCAGTGGTATGGTCAAAATAACTTTACATTTTGTCACAATTGTTTTTAATTTAATAATGTAATATTCTACTTCACACTTTTAATCAATGGCCCAAGTGACCCACAGAAAATTCTAAAAAAAATCCTTAATGAATTTGTTAGAAATGTTCAATACAAACAATAAGTTGGGGTGGGGAGTCTTATAATTATTTGAACAGTATTTTATCCCAATCTTTTTTCAATCATCATTTATTGGTCACTGACAATCATATTAGTTCATCTTTTGAAATATATAACCAATATAGCTAACTATATATGCCTATTGTAATGATAATTGTATAAAATGTAAAAGCTTTTCTGTTTAGACCACATGCTGAAGTAGAACCAATCAGTCAGGAAACTGCTAGAATTACAGAAGAAACTGTTGACCAAAGTGAAGAGAGTAGTTCGGAAAGTGAATCAGAACCGGTCATGGATAATGATACGGAAGCAAATGATAAAATCAGGAAAGGAAATCTACAAGATGATTCAGAAGCAAATGAATCCAGCAGCTCTGAGAGTGATAATGAAACTGTAAAAGAATCTTTAACACAAAAGAAGGGGAAAAAAGCCAGGAAGAAGAATACCAAAACACTGGGAAAAGACAAGTCAACAAAAGTTGATGAGATAAAATCAATGGAACTAAAAAGTTCAGAAAAAGGTAAATCACTGGATGAAAAAGTGGTATTACAAACTGAGGACTTATCTAATGAAGACTTATCTGACAATAGTGATGAATCAGATAATAGTGACTCTGGAAAGGAAAATGGTAGAGTTGCATTGAAAGGTAAAAAGTTAGATAAAACAAAAGCGAAGCTAGTAGGAATCAAAGGTAAAGATTTGGATTCAGAAACATCTGAGAGTGACTCAGACAGTGGTGAAGATGACACACTGTCAAGTGTTATGAGTGAAAAAGAAATGCTCAGATTAGCTCAGGTTAAATCAAGTGCTGGTAAAAGGTTGGAAAAGGGCAGCAGTTTAGAGGATTCAGATGACACTGATGATGATGAGTCTGATTCTGAAGTGGAATTTAAACCTGAATCTTCATCCGAGGCAGTTACGATGGATGTAGAAGAAGACGCAAGTGACAGGGGAGGTGTTAGTGAAGAAAATATCAAGAAAAACTTATTTGAAAGCTACATTAAGAAGAAAAAGAATAGGGGTTCAAAACAGGTAAGTAAAAAAAAAGGAAGAAAGGTTTACCCATGTAAAGTTTTAATTTGAAGTTTAATTGATACAAAGATCATAGTGATGAATGGAGCATGAACAATAGTTTCACAATCACATAAGTTTATGGAAATATCCCCAGCATTGACATTGAAATATTTTTTTTGTGAACAGGCTATCCAATTGGATAGCAGGTCAGTAGTTCTACTCTTAATACCTGTGTTTGTGAAAATTTGTAGGCAACCAAGGTCACATCCTTCATCTGTTATCTTCATGAAATACTTCATTTTGCAAATGAACAAACAAATTTAATATGTGATTTTACTTTACAGAATTTGGATGCTCAGGTTAGCAAAAAGACCGACACCAGAAGAGGTGGACAAAAAAGAAAAATTACTGATGATTACACAGTGATTAAGGATAAAACACCGAAAGTTATCGGCATGCAGTATTTTGTCGATAAGAAACCCGACAAGAATACACATCTTGTAGATGATAAAGAGAATAAGGTGTCGAGACCGCTAACAAGAAATCTAACAAAAGCAGCTAAATTAAAGAGTTTAAAAAAGCCCGGGAGAAGATGATAAAACTTCTTGATTTTAACATTATATTTGTAATAAAATACTGAATAAATCGTGTACATTTACTATTTGTTACTTGTTTTATAAATTAATGAAGTAAATGTGCATACATACTACATCATTCTAAAATTTCAATAGTTAAAAGGTTCGGGGTGCAAGTATTCTTGGATTTTGTTTTTTTAGTTCGATTGTGCAGGAAGATGTAAGCTTATACAGTTTCGAATCTGTTCCTGGATTCAACCATTACTGAGCAATGAATGTAGTTTCTTGCTGCCCCTTTTTGTGGATTTCTAGTATTAAAAAACTTCTTTTAATAAATCAGTTGCTCAGTCATTACCTTACATAAATAAAACATCCTGAAATGTTTCTCTCAATTGAAATTGGGTCACCAGATAGAGACCTTGTGGACAAAAGGTGAAATCATTTTTATGCCCTGGCTTGGGCATATATTAACATATAAATAAGGGAACAATAGGTAACAGTAAATTTCCTTTTGGTTGTTACGTAAGCTTGAGTGGCAACTTTTTCTCTTTACGTGGTTAAAAGAACAATAGGGAGCGGTGGTTAAGGTGTCTGCCTCTAAAGTTCTCAACCCAGGGATTATGGGTTCACGACCATGTTTCTTCATATGACACCAGTACTGGTTGGTTCCAGGAAGAGGACTCCAAAGTGATTAATATAAGTTGCAAGAACTTATTTCGCAATTGAGCTTAAATAAATGTTTAAACCAAAGGACAATGAATTAAAATCTAAAATTTGAGGACATCCATCCATCTGTCTGTACATTGTAAACCTAAACTGCCAAGTTAGATATAAATTGTATACTTGTAGTGTACCAATGCCCTCATACTACCCAAAAACATCAAGTTCATGATCTTGGAAAAATGCATTCTGAAATTAGGGTCACTGGTGCTAAAATAGATATTTCGGCTTCACTTGCAATAAATTCCATAAAATATGATATATGACCCTGACTAATACATCCTTAATTGACCAATGTCTTCTCATTTGGTAGGGACATACCACTGGTTGTTGGGTCAGCAGCGCTAAAACTGGGTTTTACATTTTAGCTTATGCAGCCTTTATTGTCTTTCATATTTGGTATATAGATGCCTGGAGTAGTCCTAATTGTGGATGTCAAGGTTATTGGCAAGTGGAATACTTGTAATGATGTACCAATTTACACTTTTTGAATAAGAACAAAGGTCATAACCTTAATGTTTTTTAAACAATTTTTGGCAATTTACCTTTCTACAACTGAGTGAATGGATAATTTTTGGTAAGTAAATTGGTTGCCAACAAGAATTGACTTTACCAAACACATGGTTCTAGTTTGTGGAACTGATCATCTAAATGTCCTGTGACTGTTAAAGTGACAAAATTTGTTTAGCCTAAATTAAGATATAAAAAGAACCTTCAATGATAAAATCCCCATTAAAATATGTATGCTTAGAATTGCATCTTGGGGTAATAGATCCTAATGCAGGTCAAATATCTTGAGATATGCAGACAAGTAACAGTCATTTCCCATCTGGCTTGTGTGATACTCTGATTTCTTCCAGTTTATCCAAAAACAGTCAAACTTATCCCATTACTAAAGTTCAACTTCCCAGCATCCACTGGTGGAGGGTGACCAACATGCACCCTGTACATTATTTCATCCATTCCAGCCAACACCAGAGAACCACTGACTTGCAAGCAAAAGCAAAAAACTCGAGTGGAATTGAAATCGGCAGTGTTGAGTAGCAAATGATATAAAGTTGTTAACCAATATTATATAGAAACAAGAAGAATAGTTCTGTTTTTTGTAATTACATTTATTTACAAATATAATTTACACCAAAATTCCCCTTTCTCCCACAGAAGCTCAGGAAATGTTATGTATAAATGCATCTCTCATTTGATAAGCACTTCATATTTCTTCACTGATTTTTCTACATGTATTAAATTTCTTTGGGATGGGAGTGTAAAGAAACACTAACAACAGATAAATACAATGCCTGACAATGCACTAAGATACTATGGTTTTCTTTTCTATAACAAAAAGATTTTTAAAAATACACATACTATGTGCATAGCTTTGATCCTTTTCCTAAATAAAATAAACATAATTTCCAACAGATTTCATTTTCCATGTAAAAAAAACAACATTCAAATCTCTTTAAGAAAATATCAATTTCTGAGTTGCAAAATATTACATACAAAGGTAGTATGTTAAAGTTCTATAGCATATAATGTTCTTTAAATTGAATAATCTAGGTTTTTAGTAACTTTTTTTAGCTACATTTATAATGCAAACTGGAGCACTTTTCTGTCAGATGAAACACTCTTCCTATTTTCACACATGGATGATTAAACCAAACAACCTATACATTAGGGTCTCTGTATTTTATAGCTTGTGTCCGGATCCTGTTGTCGTATTCTGTTCGGTTTTGACTGAAAACAAACAACAACAATCACCTTATTGGTCTAATATAGATAAACAAATTCATGATAATTCCTTAATTCTTTTTTTTTTTTTTTGAAAAGCCCAAATGTTCTTCTTTTATTTTTACAATATAGAACTAAAGAATAAATTCTGTGTTCTGATTTCTTGTTTTATTTCCAAATTCACACATTCTTCAAACTTTATGCCAGCTGTTTTCATAAATGTGCCCTACATCTATTTGGAAAAGGTGCATTGTAACTTCAACAAAGTTTCTATATCTAAAGGCTCATTCAAATTGAGACATTACGCATTTACATACTATAACTGGTGACATGTTTACATTATCCTAAATATTGGTTGTTTTGTCTTTATATAAATGGTTGGGCATAATGTCACACCAATATCTTTAAGGTCATAATTATGGTGACTTTCCAGCTTTACTGGTGGAGGCAGACCTCATGTGACACTCGATGCATTATTTCAGGCAAGAACAGGCACTTGAGTAGAACCCCAAACATTTGGTAAACTAGTCGGCTAGGGTTAAGTTACTGACACCTTCATACAAGAAAAGGTTAAACTAAAAGATCTGAAAAATCACATTTGTACTGTATTGATTTATTAGGCTTCCCAGGAGCAGGTAACTTGTTAATATTAGCAAAGAATTTGTATGACCGACATATCATCTTTAAATCTAAACTCATAAGTCATGTAGTTTAACTCTGTTAGTAACATTAACATATCATTTCAATGGACTTTTATATAACCAGTAAACAAGAAAATTTTCATCCAATGCCTGTTAGAAATCTATATTAACATTGTAAAAGTAATGAGATTATAAATCATTACAGTTCGCCAAGGTTTGTCTACCAATGAAATCGATCTATTTTGTTTAAATTTTGCCAAAGTATTTTCCATATACAGTGCTGTAACTCAACTCACTGACCTCATGGTATGTTTACATGTTTATCATCTGATAAATATGACACTAATTGGTGTGAATTGTTGAATGTGCACTGGGTAATTGGTCTTTATATTCAATATGAAACAATAACTAGCAGCATCTCAAGATTATCGCCAATCATATCAACAGCTTGGTTATGAAATGGAGGACTTTACGGTAAGTTTACATTCATATAATTTTATTGCTGTTGATAAAAAGATCAAAGGAATTATGAGTTATAGAATAGAAGTTGTTTTTTTTAAATTGCAAATTAAATCTGACCTAATAATGGCTCCAAAAAAGCATAAATTTGACAAGGAGTATATTTGACAATTAGTATTCCTGAAAAAAAAAATTGACCTTACTTTGTACATAACCTCTATCTGGAGCATTTATTTCAAGAAGCATACAACATATTTTTAGGAAACTTAAGCTAATTACTTTACTCTTATAATGAATAGTTGGCATTTTTTTTCCTGAATTATGTTCAGTTTAGAACTTTTTAATATTCTTTTCTTCATTAATAATTATTCTTCTTACTCTCAAATGTTTCTGTTTTTATAATTTCAGATACAGATAGTCCTCAAACCAAATCTTTGGCATTAACCAAGCAAGCTGAAGCAGCACATTGGAATGTGGTTCTGATGTCACTGTCATGCCAATAACTTAGATTTTATGATAACATTGCTGACTAAATTAGCCTGGAAAATGTTATTCTTATAGCTACTGAGCTGCAAGCTTTTATGATCAGTTTTAAAGTGATTAAAATGTAGCTACCAAAATAAAGTTGGATATATATGTAGTTTTTTTTCTTCTAAATATCTCATGCCTTTTTAAGGTGTTCCATATATGAAATAATGCTATAAATAAGTCTGACAATCGAATTCTGGTTATTTTGCAGTACCATTGCCTTCTTGAAAATAAAATACAGGCACGTAATTTTCGCTGCGAAAAATTGGCTCAAAGAAAAAATCTGCCAGTGCTAGCCCTGCAACTGTATGTATTAAATACCTTAAATGAGCCGATTTAATGGACTCCGCCTATTTACATAGTGCACTCAGTTTGAATAGGCGGGACTAACTGTAAGTGGGTTATAGGTTATATATACAGAGTTTTAAGAAACTATCGCTTCACTTCGTTCGCTCAAAAATTAATTTCTTAAAACTCTTGTTTATAACCTATAACCTATTCTTAAGCACTGTTTTTAGCAATGACAAAATTTTCAGAGCATGGCATATACAAATTCTATTTTTGTTAAGAGTATTTAGTCACTCTGATACCCTTCAGGTACCATGGCAATTTAACACCTTTATTGCATGACAAGCTTAGTGCTTATATCAACACTCTTGTTATCACCTTGATAAATTGGCAAACATTCGTAAGTTAGCAAAATGAGCTTTCTCACAATTAAAAATTTGAAACTGACATAATTCAAACAAACGGGTATTGGGCAGCAAATGATTCGCAGTTGGCCAACTAAACAACTTTATAACTTCAGTTATGAGAATGAGACTTAAATATGTAAAATTGGTAAAGCAGTCTGTGTGACAAAAAAAATTGCCATAAAATTATCTTATATCTTAGTGGAGTTTTAGATCATGATGACACTGCTTTTTTGGTGCCACACTAACACTCTTTAGTTCACACAGCACCTACCTTACTTCACTGATGGAGAAACACCCTTAAACCTCTCTTTCATATGGACCGATGGGTGGTAAATTAAGTAGGGATATATGGTGATATATTTAAGTAGGACAGACTGGTGACATAAGTAGGAAATGCTTGTAAAAATCAACAGAGTTCTAGATTATAATCACAATGGTACCTAAAGTGAAGATTCTATTAGGATGGATCCTTGTTGAGTAATGCCTGCTCTTTTATTCTTCTGTTATACTCCTCTCTGTTTTTACTGAAATATTTAATACACCTAACTGAAGGACCCTCGTCTTTCTTATCTAGAGAAATCGGGTCAAACTTACTAGGTCTGTATTAACCAGGTCACATATACCAGTAGAATCCAACTATGATTAATATGTCATATGCAAGAAAAAAAATTTAACACCGTATGTAGATACAGACACGAATATCTAGCTCTTGGGGTAACTTTTAGTGGAAACTCAGCAGAGCCTTGTTACCGCTCTAAACAGTTACCTGGGAGCTAGATAATCCGGTCTGTACGGGCAGCCGGTGTAAGATCCTTATCTGTAAAACCAAACCAAAAAGTCTATTTAATCCTAAATATAGGGCACAACTTCTAACATGTATTGAGGGCCTGGGCAAAAAGTAAATTGTCTTTTTCATCTGATTTTTAGCCTAAATCATTGTTTTATGTCTCGACTTACCAGTAAATAGTGTAAGCCTCAGCCTGTGCAGGGTCCTTGATGTTGGGTTCATTCAGCAATTCTTGTATACCTAATAAGATCTGGAAATAATAATGTATATTTATGTACATTTATATAAATTGGTAACATTTAGTATTACACAAACCTAAGTTTTCTACAAATAAAGAATCTTTGTTTGTAAAATAGTGCATTACAAATTTACATTTAAAATGTACGTTATTTTAAAACTACAAACCCTCATCCCATATATGTCCATAAGAATATGAAAACAATGTTCTTGCACAGTTTCTGAATGTGTTAAGTTGATTTTGCCAGTTACATCTTAACACCCTTCAAGAATATTTCAAGGCATTGAATACCAACATAATTGACTAAGTTAAATATCTTATCACATAGCCCATGCTTCAGACCTCATAAAACTGGTATTACACACATGTGCATATTATTTTGATATGACATCATTTGCGCCAAACAAACATAGTGTAAAAATATGTCAGATGTTTCTAGTACACTATAAGAGTTGCAATTTTAACTTTATGTATGCATGTTTGTGTAGGTTCATAACTTAATTTATTTAAAAGTAATTTTCCTGCTTCTATAACAGACTCCGATAAGAGCCTCTTTCCAATTGAATTTTTTTTTAAAATAATGCAGTTTTCCCAAAAATCTTTAACTTGAACCTGATTTTTTATTTCCCAAATTAGCAATTTTAGCGATAATTTTTCCCAAAATCAAGAGGCTAAGGCCTCTTCCCAATTAAGTGAGAAAAAACACTGACTTATTGCAATAATTATTTTAATATGCTCGCCAAAGGCTTGTAAAACCTTATTTTATTCAACTTGTTCAATAAATTAAGTATTGAACCTACACTCATTCAATATCCTCATATACAGTGTAACTTCCGAAAACCGAACACCCATGGGACTTGTCAAAAAGTTCGGATTTCAGAGGTTTCCGGAATTCAGAAGTTTATGATAATGTGGACAAGACTAAGCCACTTAATATCACTAAATGTCAAGGACGATGTGGCCATTACTGTAATATCATATCAGTTTGTAAAAATGTTGTTAATTGCATAAACTTACATATCGTCCGATGCTAGTTAATTAATTATTACATCAAATGCAATAAAATCCCTAAAGACGTTTGATGCATACATTGTCCCATTAATTGTCATTTAATCCGCTAATAAACACTTCAAATTAACTGACCGCCGTAAATTACTTTGACTAACCGCATCACTTCAAACATACCATTTCAGTTTGTGATTTTAACGCGTGTCAAATTACACGATCACCGCTAATTAGTAAACAATCGATAGGGAGATAAGGGTTTACAATGTATTTTTACACCTTTGGATATTTCCGGTTTTTGGAGGTAAAATTGCATTGATTTGACTCTAATTTTTCGAAAATATCGTCCGGAATTCAGAATTTAGAAGTTCCGGAATTCAGAAGTATTATATTAATAGAAAATAGAAGGGAAAAATCGGGACCGAAAAAATTGTTCGGTTTTTAGAAGTTTCCGGATTTCAGAAGTTCCGGAATTCGGAAGTTACACTGTATACACTATCATAATACATTATTGTAATATGTCAATAATGTACCTTCAGCACCCATTTCACCAGCTTAACTTGGCTTTAAATAATACATTTTTGCAGTCAGCGATGTTGAGCTAAGATACAAACCTGTTTTATTGTGACAGCGGGTCTCCAGTCCTTTTCCTCATCTAACAATGATAAACACACTGTACCAGATGGATAAACATTTGGATGAAATAAAGGAGGCTCAAATTTACCTGAAAATTATAATATAAAAAAAATTACATTCAAACTATTTAAAACAAGTTACAGAAAATAGTCACAACACCAGGTTTCAGGTTTTCTGTCAATTTTACATACTTTGCAAATCCCCACCCTCCCAATTCATCAATCATATAACCGGTAGTTTTCTGTTGAAAAAAGCTGGTTATCAGAGAAATTAAGTTCTACTTGGCAACTTGCACATGAACATTTCCAGCCATGATCAAAGAAAATCTGACAATGCCAATATAATTGTTCGAAGGGGCCATCACTCTGTTTATGATTACAAATTGGTAACTGTAAATTGCATAAATCTCTATTGCCAGCTTGTAAGAAATCAATCTAGTTTCATAAACAAGAGAATATGTGTACTTACATTTAGGTGGTGAACTGGGGTAATCTTCTTTAAACAGCATTCTGATTTTATAAAGACCACCCTCCCAGTTTGTCTGTTCAATGAAATACATATATCACAAATTATACATATAATTATATTATTATACTCCAGATTTATGGGTTAATAATAGCAGTTTCCTTCAATAATTCAAAGCTAGTCAGATTGATTTTTAAGGTTACCCATAAGCTGCTGAATTTCAAAGTGGCCACCATCTGCCACTTCAGGGACTGTCCATTACCAATTTTTGAGATATCAAGATACTAGAGCCAAAAGCTTCTCACTGAAGTTTCAGCAGCCTAAGTGAGGTTCAAACAGCAAATCAGTACTTTATCTAATGTCAAAGAAATTAACTAGAAATGAGTAAGGCTTTCATTCGAGTATGTACATGTAGGTTTCCACACACACTTTCTAATTAAGCTAGGAATGAAAATTCAAATTAATTCTGTCTCTCCATTTGCTTCTTGTACCAGGTGATCAAAATTTTCCTAATGAATTGACCAAGTTACTAGAATGTTATTATTAATCTTAAATGTATTCTGTCTATATTTTTCTCACTTACCCCTTTTTTGCCTGGTAGGAAACATTCCCAATTCAGAAGATTCAGAGAGCCATCAGGATTTTTTGTTGGTTTGGCCACAAAGCCCTACAACAGCAAAGACATGCATGTAAAACATTCAGTAGTGAAATTACATATTCATAAGGACAGTGATTCTTTTACAATGTATGAAACAATTATGTGAGAAGGTACTTGAAATAGTTTTGTGAAAGTTTGGTTGAAACCCTTTGAGAAATATAGGGAGTAGTGCTCATAATCTCATCACATTGAATATCTTAAATTAACTTGTCCATCTTACAATGTAGACAAGTCCATCATTCTTAGGGAAAATTTTAAACTACATCACTGACTAAATACCTAACAGTACCGACAATAATCAGACTGCAGATCTTGGTCAGCACTGGTCATATAATGGGTAGATTTAGTTACCACTTGCAGGCAAAGGGTTAAGCCAACCAACCAAGCAAACATTCATCAATCTATTATCGCATGGTTTGGGACTTTTCCTTTGTTCTTACTAACCAATTATACTCAGTTCACTTTCAATGAGCATTTCAAAACTGTATTGATATAATTATAACAGAACATTTTTTCATTGATTCATGTAGGAAAAAAACTTGACTGCTATATATCGGTTGAGTTTTTTTCACACCTTGTATATATCAATGTAGTTTTTTCAGAGGCTCCAATGGGGCAGTGGTAACGAACATTCCCAGTCGCAAAACAAAAAAAGGAATCAATAAAATAAAATAAATAAATACAATGAAAAAAAAAAAAACAAAGATCATTAATGAAATGAAATTTACTCTCATTTAATCAAAAAGGTACATCCGCTGAATAAATTATTTTCACTGAAAAAAGCCATTTAATCTTGAATCAATATTGGTAACAGCTTACAATCCACCTCTAACATTGGATGTCTTTTGTATATATCTTTTTTTGCGGCAGCGAAAACAACTTGAAAAAACTGCCTTATCATAAATAATTGTAATGTAGCAGACTATTTATTTAATTATATTACAAAAAAAAAGAAATCATAATGCCATTGCGATAAAACAGTTATAGTATATGAAACTTGTTAGTTATGAGGATATAACAATGGCTGGACGACATCTCGAGATATTTCTGCAAAAAATTGTCTCGGCCTAACGGCCTCGCCATTTTTAGCAGAAACATCCCTTGATGTCGCCCCAGCCAGTGTTATATCCTTGTAACTAATGAGTTTCATGTACTATAACTATTACATAACCATGCTTTTACTTTAGAAAATCTTGTTAATTAAATACTCACAAAAGGATGGTCTTTTCTCCATGCCTTTCTCTCCTCTGCAAGTCTAGCTAGGGCAATTCCAGACATTCTTTATTCAACAGCCTGTCTAAAATGGTGAGGAAATGATATTTTCTAAAAAAAACTTTTCTCTTTAGTTGACAGAAATTTTATGTTATTAAAACCATGAAGATATTTTATAAAATAAGTTTGTTTCACTTTTTGTATGATTTTAAAGTGTTAACATTGTTTGATAATTTGTAATATGCATACAAACAGATAAAAAAACTTTCACAAAAACCCTAGTCACACTGAATCATCAAGCCAGTACTGAGGAAATAAACTAACCACTCCTAAGGTCAGGGTAACGCATTGTAACACGGCCAGCGATTGGCTGAAAAAAAGTGCAGGGAAAACCGTATGAGTCAATTTATACATGAGGTGATTGGATGAAAGTGGGGTATTTTTAAGTATAAAAACTAATTTAAAAAGTAACACTACATTGTTTTCTGAAGAAAATGAAATATTTCATGAGTCTCTGTGATAATTTTGACTTGGATATTTGCATTTATAAAAAGTGTATGTCAGTCCTGTGATCAGCAGAAAATTTCAATGAAATGGGGGGTAATCCTCTTTGAAGTCATTTTGCAAAAAATTTGGTCGGCTACCCCTATATAACAGGAACATTTTTATGTGTCAGGCATTTCATTCTGCTAGAAAAATTACCTCTTTAGCATGAAAACTCAATTTTAAGGTAGGATTAGGGACCATTTCTTATAATGTAAGTCTATGGAAATATCAATGTGAGTGTCTGACCTAAAGAGAGGGAAATTGGAACTGTCATAATTCATTTGTTGTACTTTGTCTTCATTGATACGCCACGAAAAGCTGATATTTTGGAAGAATGGATGTTTACAGCCTGTCTAGGTATAAAATTTCATTATTTCAATGCAACTGTTGGTGTTTACAGCAGATAATGTGTCAAGGGGGTCAATCTACAAGCATTGTTTACATATGAAGAAGAGTATTATTGTTACTTAAAAGTTAATAATGGTTTGTGTTTTCTTTAAACAGTGAATTTGAGTGATAATCAATTGGTGATATGTTGATGATGAATAATGTTGACCTTGGTCATTAAAAATATTTTTCAGATTTCAAAGAAATGCTGTACATTGGATATACACCTGCCAGGTTTGAAGACTTATGTATAACTTGACAGGACCTGATGTAAGCACATTGGCCACTTTTGATGGGTGTTGCAGGTATATCAATACAAATGCATATTGTCAGGTTCAAAACTAATAGATTAATACTAGAAATAGTCTAGGGTGCTGTTTCGGTTAACTTTTCGACTTATTTTAGGGGCGGACATTTCTTCGCTCGGCACTAATATTTTTCCATTTTGCTCATATAATAACATAGAATGTCACAAATAAATTGCTTCTATGTCTGTTTCCCATATAAGAATGTTTTGTGTTTCATTTACAGGCATAGATAGCATAAAAGCTTCAAATAAATAGCATTTTAAGGATTCTGTCTTAAAATTTTCTTGGTTTCAGGGCATGAATATCAATACATACTTAGAAATTGAAATCCATTGAAAAATGTAGCATAATTAAAGTTAGGTAGCCTCTGAATAGCCTCTTATTATGTGGTTAAGATGCAAAATAGTGATTAGAATTTATTGTTTTCTATTTGGTAATACATATTTACACACTCACAATGTATAATGCCATAGTTTTTAGACTTTATGACTATTTAATGCATAATTGAATGAGCATCATAATGGCCAAGGGTAGAATTATTTTGTAGAAAAAATTTTATTGATAAGTAAAAGTTGATCTACTTTTTCACAATCATATTAGGCACAATTATAACACAGCTTTAGTGTCTCTGATGTGTCTATAAACAGAAAAAGCACTTATTCTGGTAGATAAATGTACACAAAGGGTGTGATTATGCACAACTTCAGTGAATTACCTCCCTTTATTTATTGAGAAACTTAGATAAGTGCATAAATTCTAGTTTCTGGCTACCTAAATGAGAAGAAAATACACAATACTATCCATTCCAAGTACATTTTGGTCTGAAGAGGTGATTTACATGGTAAAACACCTGAAAGAAGGTTTCAATTGTCATATTTGGCTCCAAATGAATGCAAAAATGGCCAAAAAATGGGTGTAGAAGTCAGATTTTAAGCTATTACTGTGCTGTTAAGTCCAGTGGAACTTGGTTTTTCCATATATTGCATTTTTTAATATCCATGTGAGAGAGAGACAAAATATATATAAAGAATTTTGGCATTTTATTGACATTTTGGCTTGTATTTAAGACTATATAAGCAAATATTTGGAGTAAAAAAATACAGCAGGGTCAGTTTTAAAATACCTAGTTACACCCAAAATGTTGCTATGTGTGTACAAATAATGTGTAATCCATAATCAGGTCACTATAAAGTAGTTATTAAGTATGTTTGCTAAGCTAAATCTTCATTCAGGAAGTCTATTGGTAATAAAATGTTGAAATTTGGGTGAAAAATCACTTATTTTGTTATGGGTGGGGTGATAAAATTGCTCCCTGCTACATCCTTTTGTTAGAAAATTAGTATTTTGAAGCACTTCTGTAATGAAAACAGTGAAGTTTTGCTATCTGAGTGATTTTATGGAAGTTGTTACAAAATTGACTTCAGAATAATGAATTATGTATGAAAATCACATGCTAACATTCATTTTCAGAATATCCGGAATGCGACATAGTGGCGCTTGTTAGAAAAAAGGGAACTTCAAAGTTTTAAATGACTTAAGAGTGGTGAAAATGCATCCATATAATTGGTAATTGTATATGCAACTTCATTAATTATTAGATATTAGAATACTAAACATTTAATATTCCCTTTAGGTCAGGGTAACGCATTGTAACACGGCCAGCGATTGGCTGAAAAAAAGTGCAGGGAAAACCGTATGAGTCAATTTATACATGAGGTGATTGGATGAAAGTGGGGTATTTTTAAGTATAAAAACTAATTTAAAAAGTAACACTACATTGTTTTCTGAAGAAAATGAAATATTTCATGAGTCTCTGTGATAATTTTGACTTGGATATTTGCATTTATAAAAAGTGTATGTCAGTCCTGTGATCAGCAGAAAATTTTAATGAAATGGGGGTAATCCTCTTTGAAGTCATTTTGCAAAAAATTTGGTCGGCTACCCCTATATAACAGGAACATTTTTATGTGTCAGGCATTTCATTCTGCTAGAAAAATTACCTCAAATTATTACCTCTTTAGCATGAAAACTCAATTTTAAGGTAGGATTAGGGACCATTTCTTATAATGTAAGTCTATGGAAATATCAATGTGAGTGTCTGACCCTAAGCATAAATTATTTGATACTCGCGAAAATTGATTATTTTATTTTTCTCTAGATCTAGTAAATTTGTAATCAAACAGAGAATGATTATTGTATTTTATTTAAAACAATAATTGTATTGTTTTCCTTAAAACTCCCATGGGTGATACCATCCATGATTAAGACATTATCAAACCTTTTTAATTTTGGCTCAAAAATTTGTTGTTCCTTTTTCTTTTTTCTGGTCACGTGACTACGTTAACACCACTAAATGATTTCCCGCTTTTAGGCAAGACACCACAATTAGTTTTTATCCAGCCATTTCTCGCTGGAATTGCAAACAGTCTTCGGTATGAAATACCCGCGAGTAAACAACAGCTATACAAACTCCCTTTTCAGTATATCATTCCACGTATCTCAATAATCGCACCAGCCTTCTTTTTATTTTATTTTCAATGTACTTTACATCTATATTTTATGAATATTTTTTTAAGAAATAGAAGCATTTTATTTTCCGACCCAGAGTTATACAGAGAGTGCCTATCAAATGAGGATAAAATGTTTCATCATATAAACCCTATGGTTAACTGAGCGTCATGTCAATGCGATGTATACCCCTGCAGTCTTGTGTTTTGCACGACTTTTTAACACCAAGTTTGCGTATAGAATGAATTTTATGAATGTTTTCGATAAATTGTATGCATACATCATTTACAATTCTCAACAAAGAAAGACTGGATTAGAAATTAAGTATAAATAATCAAATCCTCTCCAGTTTAAAATTTACAAAATTGAGATAAAAAATGTTCCACGGACAATAAGATACATGTAAACTTATAAATGTAAAATAGAGGGTTAATGCACCTTTTTTCGTGTATCAACATCTACAGAAGCACGAGGATGTATTTTAATCCCGAGCCCACAGCAGGGTCTTTAGAAAGCTTGCAGGGAGGGCTTCTGCTGGTATGAACTCAGAATTAACGCTATTCTTGAATAAAAGTATAAGTCTGATTAGAAATTTCCGCGTTTCGTTATTAAAAAGAAAAGAAAAAATGTTTCGTCATGGTTTTCATGGGGTAGTGCGATGTCATTTGATAGAAACTGTTATGTTTTAATAATGAAACTACCGTAGCCACCATTCCAGTAAATTAAGCTGTATTTACTGAGTCATACAAAAAGTGCACTCACAATCGGCTCGCGTGATTTAATTTATTCGTTAATGCACGTTGCGATTTTCTTCTCTGTTACTGAATACCTGCCTTTGCTATTTTATGCAGTTTCTATCTTGCCCAGTATGTTTTAATTAAAAAGAAATTCTTTCATTTTTATTTCTATTAAACTTTCCAATTTTTGGCAGTTTGTTGCAGTTTTAAAAAAAAGTCACTTATTCAGAAAAAATATGTCCCCCTCACCAAATTGTCAATGTGGTCTCCTGGAAAGTAACCACCACTTCTTCTTTGAGTGTCACTTCTATAATGATATCAGACTCAGACTATTTGATGCTGTTTCTAATATTTGTACTATAACACTTCATACCTTACTAAACGGAGACCAGAATCTTAGCCATGACATTAATTCTAAAATTGTTCAAGCAGTTCATGTATATATACGTGAAAGTAACCGATTTTCATGAGCAAATAATATGCCAACTTGACCTATCCGAATGAATCTTCTTTACCTTCTTTCTTATTCTTTTCAATTATTTATATTCTTTAAAAAAAGATCTTTTGAACAATAGCTAAAATCTTCGATTTTTTTCGTTTCAAATATGTTAAAAATTAACTTCATTGTTTCAAACAATATTGCAAACACTGTCATAATTTAACTGCATTGTGCAAATATGTAGGAGAAGACCTTTATAAGCTTTATAGCTTTCGGCTCTAATCCTTTTTCATTCGTGTATCTAATTATTGTAAATGTATTAACAACATGTACTTGTATCATTGTTTGAAATAAACTATGTTTAAATTAAAAAAAAGTAAAAAAAAATATTGAAAGGTTACTCACTCATTTCCCACATAGATGAATTATCTTTAATTTTTTGCTTTGTTATCACAGTGAATGAGTATTTTGTATGTTTGAAGTACTACATTTTGCTACCATTACGATACATAACCGCATATTCAGTGCGACTATCTTCAGTTGTTAAACATCTAATTTACTCTAAAGAATTAAAAAAAATGGATGTCTGAGGCATAATTGCCTTTAACGGACTGATATTGATTTTAATTAAATTATCAATTATTTGATAGGCATAACAAAATGTATACGTGAAAAGTCCGTCTCGTGAGTGATTCAACTAAAATATACACAAGCTTTCCTTTTACTCGAACTGAAGTAGATATTGTTTAAACTACTCAAACTCAAATAAGTTCAATACATGTACTAAAATACAGTATCGGTCACACCAAGGCTTAAATTCAATAAAAACTGTGGTTACTCTCTACAAATATAGAACCGACTCTCACCGTTTAAGAATCGTCTTTGTTTTTGTTGGCACTATTTTCATTTTCTTCAAGGATGTACATTCAAACCTGTGAATAAAGGCCACCCAAAGGAGAGATCATACATGACCTTTAGTGAACTTTATTTGAAGTTTAATCTGTTGTATTTTCAATAATGAAGGTTTGTCAAAAAGTGATCTTTGTGTTTATGGTGGTCTCTATTCGGAGGTGGTTTTTAACAGAGGTTTGGTTGTATATTATAAATATATGTTCCTGTTTTCGAAAAGGAAACTCCACCTGCATTGCATTAAAATGTGCAACTTATTAGGTCAATATACATGTATATGGGAAAGTTGGGGTGTGTGTGTGGGAGGGGGGGGGGAAGGTCGAAATACTTGGAAAATATAAATATACACGTATAAAGTATGTCCCTATATCAATATGTATATGTTTATCAATAAAAGGCTCAAACATTGAAAATTATATTTAATTTAATTTCCCCTTTAATTAAAAAAATGCGCGTTTGAATGATTTCAAGATATCTTTTAAGCAATATGAATAATTTATTTTATATTTCAATGATTTGATTAACATCTCTCTTTACTCAACACAATATTCCGAATTCAATTAAAAGTGCAACATGTTCATGACCAGTAGTGCAACGTGTCTAAATTACAGTTTCCCCATATAATACTCGCTGATTTAATTAAGTATACTACAATACTAAGCATAAATGACGTTGTTATGATTCTCTCTATATTATAAAATGCAATACATGCAAAGAATGTGTATAAGAAAATAAATATTTTCTATTGAAAGTGAACCCCTGTGTTCAGATATTCATGCCGGTTCACTGTACTATAAAAGTAATGATTCATTCCAAGAAAAAAAACCTGGTCCGTCTGCCGACCATGGAATTTGACAATTTTGTCCATTAAAGTCCGTGTGTCATCACAGATTGCAACCTTGAATCTATTTATTATCAAAATTAAATATTTTGCCGACCTATTTTGTGACATACGAGGGGTTATCAAAAAATTCTTGGACTTTTTAAATACCTTTTGAACGTCAACGTGTATTGTAAGCATACATTGTAGAATATTATCAACACGTTTTGAAACGAAAAGTTAACTGCGTCAATAAATAATGATTTTATATTATGCTATATTATGCTAGTAGAAAAGCGCAGTTAGTCATCATATATTTTTTTGCTAAAAAACTACTAATTAACGTAGAAAACCCGCTAAACATCGCACATATTAAGTAATTCTTTAAAATCATAGACGTCATTTCCGTAATTTTTTGTCGATATTGTTTACAACGGGAAAATGACGGACACGCAGAAATTAGAAAATAGCGTGATCATAAAATTTTGCAAACTCCTCACACTGATTACCTCCCTTGGCAGAATTGTAATCTCTGTACTGATAAGGGGAGATCACTGCGTAGGAGATTGAAAATTTTGTTGTAATTTTGGAATTACACTAACAAAAACATTTAAAAAAAAAAAAAAAAAAAAAAAAAACAGCAGGCGAACAGAGAAAATAAATTTTCACTAGATCTATCATTAGTGTTTTAAATGTGGCATAAAAAATATAGTGATGGACATTTCATTTGTTTGTGTACAATGTAATTGTCTTATTATATTGAAAAATGTGTCTATAATTGTTGAAAATTGTCATTTATTTTAACTTTTTTATAATTCATTTATTATTATGTAAGTTAGTGTAATAATTTTACAGTAAATGGACCCCATTGGAAATAAGCTTTTAGCTTAATGGGCAATCCTAGGGTTACATAGAACATACTCATTAATTAATCTTATAATTATTTTTGTTGCATTTATTAAATGTGTGTGTTTTTATATATATGCAAGTTGATGTATGTGATAACATTGTATGTGTATATGTCTATTCCCTGAATAAATCGATACGATTACTTTGTGAAGCAGCAATGGTTATTGACTGCGTAATGTTGAAGCATAAATTGTACGTTAAATATTATGACGCTGTTGTCAATAACTTTTTGGAGTGCGCCGCTGTCGCTGACATGTGCACGATTATGTAAAATCAAATATTGTTGTAATATAAGAAGCTACTAACATGAATTTTCTGTGTTTATTTGTTATTTATTCTTCTAAGCAGTGTTAGAATTTCAAATCAATATCTTAAATATATTTACGCAACAAAGAAAGTCCACAAATTTTTAGATAACCCCTCGTGCAGTAGTAAATCCGACATGAATTTGAAACGAACCAAACGAATCTGACCATCACGCATTTTAACCTAGATCACGTGATAGTCATGTGACCATGCAAATGTTATAAATTTATTTACATCCTAATTTTTGACATATTTCACATCTATACAAAATGTCACGAGCAACAGCACCAAGCAAAGAAAACTGCATCGACGGATACAAATATGTGTTTAATAAAGATCTGCTAAAGTAAGTTTATATATGAAATATTTTTGAAGTTTTTTTACATGTACATTTTTTTCCGCAGTCAAGTAGCTATAACATCCTAATGCACATGCCTGTTAGGTAAAAACATTTTTAAGCTCAAAACTGTTAGAAGAATATTTCGTTAAATTACAGACTGATCCGTTATTGGCTATGATCCGCTATTGGCTAACTCACTGTATATATGTACACTGGTGTAACTTAATTAGTAAGCTTATGATTGATCTAAATCTATCTTGTTCCAACTTTCTCACTCACAGATTGCTATTTTCACAAGTTAATACTTTTCTCACGCCAGATTGCTATTTTCACAAGTTAATACTTTTCTCATGCACAGATTGCTATTTTCACAAGTTAATACATGGGTCTTTAGTATAAAGTATATTTTAGAGGTCTTAGTAATTAAAATACTTAATTACATATACCTCAATGAAATACATGTACAATTAGGGTTATTTTGAAAATTTCTCAATAATCAGTTGTTGAATTGTTAGTTTATTCACAATGTGTAGGAAAAGTTAATGTTCAAACAATGTAAAGAAGAATAGGGTGAAGTGTAGTAATTAATTTCAATTACTGAAAGTAAAATTGGAACAGTACCCATCAAGTGGTAAATAATATTAATATGAATAGGGATGACATGTTACAGACAGGAACTTGATATTTAATCAATAAATATCAAAATATGCACATAATTATATAAGAAAATATAGCCCTGTCTCTATACAAAGAGATTAGGCTTTTTTTATCAGTAACTAATAAACACATATTTGTTATTTATTGATTCAATTTACAATGATCCAGCTTACTTTGAATAAACATAAAATGTTTCCTTAAGTATAGCATGTCACAGGAACAATCATTTCACATCAAAGTTTGAACTTTTCAAATAATTGGGGAGAAAGGGTATAAATTACACTGCCAGATAGCTATATAGCTCATTTGGTCAAGCTGTCTGATGAACGATCAACACTTCAGCAGGGTTCAAAGTTTGCCAATCCTCAAGGACTGTGTGAGGTCATAAAGAAATTTCTTAGCTCATACTTAAATCTCAGGCATTTGATTGGTCAGAAACCAGCTTACAATATGTTATGATCAATGAAAATCCTGAGATTTGAGACAGAACTCAGAAAAAGTTTTATATACTCAAGGGGGTCAGGCTTTATACTTTCTCACCATGTGACATAGGAAACTTAATTATACAATATACTAGTTGGCAAAGTTCTAGGGAGCAGATCTGATAGTGGTTTGAGTAAAATTTAAGGTGTGCCGCCTTATTAAGCATATATATAATCATTAGGTAAAATAATTTCATTTTAAAAATCTGAAGATAAATGGTAATGCATATAATTTATAAAACAATACATGATATATATATTGATAACAAAATTAAATTGCTGCAAATCTATTGAGAATTGCTTTAATAACTAACTCTGGATAGATGCTTAATTAATTAATTATGATTAACTTTCAGAGATAAGGTGGCATTTGTTACTGGAGGGGGAACAGGCATTGGCTTCACTATTGCTGAGGTTCTTATGAGGTAATTTATTTTAATTGAAAATTTATATTATATTTATAACAGCATATTAAAAATGATATTAAAAATATCATGTTACTTTACCTGCTTTTGATGTTACATCGTAACAAGATTTAAGATATAAAAAATTAATATAAAAGATTCCATCATCATCAACGTCATGGGGATAGTCAGTCAGGCCTGGTGGTGTGATTGTCTCTTAAAGCTACATGCCTTCAGATAATCCAAAATATTTCAATAAAATCAAACTTAAAAAAATATTGCTTAGACTTTAGAAATGTAAAAATATTAAAGATTCAAGTAATATTTGACATGCTATATGTGGTTAGTGACTGATTTTTTCAATAGTATGACTATATTTCTATTACATTACTAATGCAGTAAGGGATTTTTTGCACATTTTTACCTCAATTTAGTAATTAAAGTGAGTTGTAAGTGCAATTTATTAGGTGTAAATTGCTTACTTTTGGCCACTAAGTGTATATAATTATACACATTATCATACGTTTACACATATTTAAAAAAATTTCATGAAAATTAGCATAAATCTGCTGCTTTAAACTTCAAAGGCTCTGAGTGTGTTCTTCCATTTTTAGCTCGGCTTTTTTTTTTTGAAAAAAAAAAATAGAGGTATTGCTATCTATAGTCGCGGCGGCGTTGCCGTTCGTTCCCGTTCCCGTCCACAAACTTGTACCTGGATCATAACTTTTTTATTTCTTGGTGTATTGTCTTCATACTTGGCCACAACAACCCTTGGGAACAAGACCCTTTTAGTAGGGCCACACTAAATTGACTTCATCCATAAATGACCTTTTACCTTCCCAAGGGTTAAAAAATTTAAATTTTGCTTGTTTATGCTGTTATTTGGGTGTAAAATTTTTTAAAATTTTTTGAATGGAATTTTCTTCCAAAAATTGAACATAATAATTTTAAAGGGTATCCCCTTAAAAAAAACCCGACCCGATCTTTATTCATCAAAAAATGCCCTTGGGCTTTTAAGGTAAATTATTTTTAAAATTTTTATGTTTTTGGCTATTATTTGGGTGTAACTTTTTATTTTTTAAAAAGGATTTTTCAAAAATTTAACTAATAATCTTAAAAGGGTAAAACCCCTTTAAAAAAACCAAAACAGATCTTGACCCTTATCATTTAATGAATTGATTTTTAAGTTTTAAATTATTGAAATTTTTTATTTTTTTTGGTGTAAATGGGGTGTAACTTTGCTATTATTGAAGGGATCAACTTCATATCACACCACGTGACTCTACCACATGACACCACCACATGACTTCACCACCTGACTCGACCACGTGACACCACCACGTGACTCAACCAAGTGACTCCACCATGTGACTCCACCACGTGACTTCACCACATGACTCTACCATGTGACACCAACACATGACTTTACCACGTGACTCAACCATGTGACTTCATCACATGACACCACCACATGACTTTACCACGTGACTCCACCACGTGACTCCACCATGTGACACCACAACGTGACACCACTAGGTGACTCTACCCCTTGACTTCACCATATGACTCCACCACATGACTCTACCACATGACACCACCACATGACTTTACCACATGACTTTACCACGTGAATCCACCACATGACTCCACCACACAACTCCACCACATGACACCCACAACATTACTCAACACATTGTGAACCACCATGTGACTCAACCCCGTGAACCCACCACGTGACTTCCACCACGCGACTTTACCATGTGACTCTACCACAGACACCACCACTGACTCAACCACGTGACACCACCACGTGACATAATACGCGTGACTCAACCATGTGACTTCACCGCATGACACCATCACAAGACACCACCACATGACTCCACCAAGTGACTTCACCACGTGACTCCAACCATGTGCCACAACCACGTGACTCGAGTCCTTTCGTGGCATCCACACCGGGACACCACCACGTGACTCAACCACTTGACACCCACCCCCACCATGTGACACCACCATGTGACTTTCACCACATGACTCACCACGTGACTCGACCACATGACACCCACTGACTCAAACCACATGACACCACCACGTGACACCTATGCCAGTGACTCAACCATGTGACTTCACGCATGACACCCCCACAAGAACACACCACATGACTCCACCAAAGTGACTTCACCACGTGACACCCCACAAGACACCACCACATGACAAGTGACTTCACCACGTGACTCCACCATGTGCCACAACCACGTGACTCGACCTCGTGGCACCACCACGGGACACCACCACGTGTCTCAACCACTTGACACCACCCACCACGTGACACCACCATGTGACTTCACCACATGACTCCACCACGTGACTCGACCACATGACACCACCACTGACTCAACCACATGACACCACCACGTGACACCTATGCATGACTCAACCATGTGACTTCACCGCATGACACCACCACAAGACACCACCACATGACTCCACCAAGTGACTTCACCACGTGACACCACCTCAAGACACCACCACATGACTCCACCAAGTGACTTCACCACGTGACACCACCTCAAGACACCACCACATGACTCCACCAGGTGACTCCACCATGTGCCACAACCACCTGGCACCACCACGGGACACCACCACGTGACTCAACCACTTGACACCACCCACCACGTGACACCACCATGTGACTTCACCACATGACACCACCACATGACTTCACCACGTGCCACAACCACCTGAATCCACCACTGTATAATGACACCAGGTGACTCCACCACGTGACACCACCACAAGGCACCACCACATGTCAACCATGTGACTCCCCCATGTGTATTTATTTATAGAATTTTCTATTTATAGAATTGCGTGTTTCTATTTATAGAATTGCATGTTTCTATTTATAGAATTTTCTATTTATAGATTTGTGTGTTTCTATTTATATATATATATATATATAATTTAGTATATTTATATATACAAAATCTATAGACAAAATCTATAGACAAAACTTATGAGACAAGACAAACCGATTAATTTTATAAAAAGGAAACATTAAGATTTTGTTCAAACATTTCTTTGTTTGCTTTTAGAGAAAGTAAAAAAGTCGAGCGTTGCCCCCGCCCAGCGGTGGCTCTTGTTACTCAAAAGTGTAACCATATTTTGTATTTTACACTTTGCAAATCATGTAGCTTTTCAGAGGACATATTTTGAAAATTTTTGATTTTGAAGTGTTTTGAATGGTATTGTTCAGATTAAAAGATGGACAAGTCCATTTAAGTTATTTAGCTTGGTAATGGTAAATAAGAAATACTTACCTTAATATGATCATTAGTAGGATGTAGTATAAGAAACTTTTTTTCTCCACCCCAAATTTTTTGGAAACTGAATTTATTTTTAATACTTTAAATGGTATATTTATAAAAAATGTTGCATAAATATTATTTAAAACAATTGAAGGCACGTTAAAATATTTTAGAATAATTGTTTTCAGACATGGATGTGATACTGTGATTGCAAGTCGTCGTTTGGATAAACTACAAGAATCGGCAGCTACTTTAGAGGCGGCTACAGGGAGAAAATGTATCCCTGTACAGATGGATGTCAGAGATGTATAAATATTATATATCTTTCATATATATATTCTGTCTTATATATACCATTTGTATAAAAGTAATTAATTAAGACCTGGCATAAAAATGGAAATCTGTACATAAATGTATATAATATCGGGAAGGGATGATACTGTTGAGGTTTACTATAAAAAGACAGCTACTGAGAGTGCCCTAGCTGATTTTGGACTTGTATTTACTAAATCTTGTATGGTCATGGCCCATTTATCTTAAATGTGCTGGAACAAAAATTGATAAGTCCCAGAATGGACTGTTCCAAATCAAAAACTTGGTAATCATGTTCATTACTTTTTTCAGCCAAAGAAAGTCCAGCAGGCAGTTGGTGAGGCCATGAGAAGATTTGGAAAAATTAACTTCCTTATAAATAGTAAGTATTGTAATTTTTAAAACACTGTTGGCAAAAATGACTTGCCTATTATACTCATTGTCACCATATTAAAACAAGGTCAGCACTAAGCATTGTTAAGCATGTTGTACAGAATGTGTCAGATTAGTTTGTCAAGCAAAAAGGAAAAATGTAGGAAGCCATGTTAAAAATATTACTGAAAATAAAGTTTTTAGCTCGATGATATCTCAGATGCAGTACAGCATTTGCTTGTATTTTAAACTAATTAGCTGTCATATTTAACCTTGATTCATTAATACTGCATTTAGGCACACACATATTATTTATTTTCAGGTGCAGCAGGTAACTTTTTGTGTCCAGCTGAAGGTCTGTCATTCAATGCATTTAAAACAGTAATGGACATTGATGCCATGGGCACATTTAATGCCACTAAAGTTGTTTTTGATGAATACATGAAGGTATTTTTTTATTTGTTCTGTTGAGGGGCAAAGGCATAGTTTAACTTTGAAAATGGCCAAAAAATTTTCTAGTATTCCATTTTAAAACATTTTAATTATAATTTATTTAATTTAAATAGCACATAAAATGCACGGCAAGACCTGTCTCTTTACACTTAAAACATATAACGAAACACAGAATTACCACATGAGGCATGCAAAAATAGTGCATATACACCATTTTGTGCATTAAACATTATTTCTTGATAAAATTATGATTAAATTAAAGCAGCATGCCTCCAGATTCATGCTAATTTAATGAAAATTTTGAAAATGTATCTAAAAGTAAAATTTTGTGAAGTGAATGAGGAAAGTAGTTTACATGTTGAAAAAACCACTTACTATCCAAGTAAATTACCGAAAAGAGGTCAAAATACACAAAAATAGCCCTAAATTATATTGCATTAGTCATGTAGTAGAAATATGGTGATACAATATTACTGCAAGATCAGTATAATAGCACGTTACATGTAAATAATTATTTGAATCTTTTTACCTTTTTAAAAATCTAAGTACATTTTTCTCAAGTTTGATTTTCTTTAAATATTTTGGCTTATATGGAGGCATGCAGCTTTAACATCTGCAGAAACTCTCAGACATATAAAATCTCTGCGCCTGCGGGATCAGGCTTAAATTATTGCATCCTGGTGCTTCTGCAAATGTATACACTTAAACCTATATTTAAAATGGTCATACCTTGTACTTTCTTTTACCATTACAGCTTGAAATAAAATATTAGCCCTGTGCTGATCACTTCTATCACTTTATGACTGTATTCTAGATAAAATTAAATGTCTTTGATGATATTATTTTCAGAACCATGGCGGTGTGATTATAAATGTAACAGCCACTCTACAGGTCAGAGGTCAAGTATATCAGTGTCATGCTGGATGTGCCAAGGCTGCTATTGGTAATAATTGATAAAGGTTTTGTAAAGTAACAAAAACTTTGACCTTTATCTACATCCAAAAAGAGTAATCTAAAAATTATTTATTGTCAATCTCATTGAAAGCATATGATTAATTATAGCAATTAAATACAGTGAAGTCTTGCTAAATGTGACTTTCCCCATTACAGCATTGCCTTCGTCAAGATATTTGTTGTATGAATATGACTTTACGGCGTCACTGATTGACGTTTAAGTTTGGACGTCAAAAATACGTTATGATTGGAGTATTAAGTCAAAAGCCAACAACTTTGACAGATATGAAAAAAAATGATACAGAAATCAACAAAAAACTACTTGGGACATATTTTTGTTTCATGAAATATTTTTTTTTCACAATACATGTATATGAACATACACCTTTAAAATGTAAGCCAAAGTATAATCTAATAAAGTAATAGTGACGATTAATAATTTACAAATTTTATACTTTCAGAGACAATGACTAAACATCTAGCTGTAGAGTGGGGAGAGAAGGGGATTCGACTTATGTGTGTAGCACCTGGACCTATAGCTGATACTGAAGGCTTTAGCAGGCTCGGTAAATAATATTGATGACTTTTGGACTACTATTACCATATTACAATGGCTCAAAGTTCATCCAAAGTTCATCCTCTAAGCTCAAATGAAAGAGCATCAAATTTGTAATCCTGGGGTAGCTGGTTTTGGTCATTGGGTGAGGGAAATGTTTCTGTGACGGTTGATCTCAGACATGTAGTCTTAATGGTCATTTAGTCCCTTTAGAAGAAATTGGTATTAACTGGATTGATACTAGTATCCGGGAAAATAGGTAAGATGAACTGGCTATCGAGATTTGACTTAAAATGTGTTAAATCAGCATAAAACCAGAACAAACAATGGCTCAAAGGGAAAAGTTGTATGAATTGACTTTCTTATTTCACAAAAATAAAAAAAAGTTTTGAATCAAATCAAATTGTCAAGTTCTTGCCCGAATTAAATGGGATTATTTTTTAATTTAACTTTTTTAGGAGGAAAGGCTATAAGAGATGACTACATTAAAACCATTCCCGTACAACGTCTGGGTAAACGGGAGGACATTGCTAATACTGTACTCTACTGCATCAGTGATGCTGCCCAGCTGTTAACTGGAACAACTGTGATAGCTGACGGTGGAGCCTGGTTGACAAGTGAAAACAATCTAGGCAGAATTAGGCGTATTGTGGAGATGTATTCAAAATTGTGAACAGATCAAAACTTAAATGCGATATGATAACTATTTTATATTATTTATACCAACATAAGAAAAGTAAAATTTTATTGAAGTGAATTATGTAGAAATATTGCAATTATAAAGTCATTTTATTGAAGTCAATTATATATAAGATATTGCAGTAAAGTGCAACAGTACTGTTACCAGTTGAAGAATCGCATTGTTGAATTGATGTACAGGACACAATTGTTTTTGTTAACAATTAACTGGTCTTTTATTACATGCAGTTGGTTAATCCACATGATGCCCTTTTTTTGCCACGGGGCGAATATCTTCTCTGCTCAAACAGCTAAAGAATAGTTATACATGTATACAAACATGTTGCCCTTAATGTTTTTTAATAGTGAAAGAAAAAATGTTCATATTCAAATGAAGTAATTTTGACATTTGTTATTACATGTATATGTTTCTAAATGTTTTTGTTAGTATTTATGTTAAATTGCATTTCTTGTAACTGCATGTATGTAAATTTTAAACAGTAGAGTCAATGTATTAAAAAGTAACAAATACTACGTCATTTTGTTACACTCTTTCTTAAAAAATTTCAATGCCATAACCTTCCTGCTCTCTGTGAGATTTGTGCCCCTTTAAGTGTCTATATTTTAGTGCTATCACCGAAAATAAGTCTCTAGCAGGCCTATCACCGTGGCTATTGTGACTGCATTTCCTTAGGCTTTCAACGTGGGCTAACTTGCGATAAGAATCCGCTAAAAGGCTTATCAGCGGGGGAGGGGGTGAGGTTTATTGCATTCCTTGAGGCTAAGAAACCTCTGAAAAGCCTATCACCTTGGGTTGTGTGAGGTGTGCATTTCTTTGAGGCTATCACCGTTGGTTTTATTGCCTGGAAGGCCTCTCACCGTAGGTTGTAAGACCTTTACTGCATTCCTTGAAGCAGAAACATAGATAACATGTTATCTATGTCTCTGCTTGAAGCTATCACCGAGAGTTTTATTGAGATAAGAACTCTGTAAAAGGTCTATCACCGTAAGTTGTGTGAGTTTTACTGTACTCCTTGAGTCTACCACCGTGGGTTTTAAATTGCGATTAGAAACCTCTAGAAGGCCTATCACCTTGGGTGGTAAGACCTTTACTGCATTCCTTGAAGCTATCACCGAGGGTTTTATTGAGAAAAAGGTCTTTTACCGTGGGTTGTGTCAGCTCTACTGCTATTCTTGAGACTATCAACATGGGTTTTATTGCGAAAAGAACCCTCTAAAAGGCCTACTGCCGTACATTGTGTGCGGTTTACTGTTACTGCATTCATTCAGGCTATCATCGTGAATTAATTTGCGATAAGAATACACCGAAAGGCCTATCACCATGGCTTATGTGAGCCTTACTTTGTTCTCCGAGACTATCACCGTGGGTTAACCTGCGATGAGAACCCACTGAAAGGCCTATCATCGTGTGTTGTGGAGCATTCCTGCTTTCAATATGACTGTCACCGTTGCTTATCTTCCGATACGAAAACTCTTAAAGATTGGAAGAGCTTTACAGCATTCCCCGAGGCTATCAACGTGGATTTACTTCCAATAAAAAATCCTCTAAAATGCGTATCACCGTGGGTTGTGTGAGCATTATTGCAATCACTGAGGCCATGTATATAGGTTAACTTGAGATAAGAATTAAGCTTTTAAAAGTTGTAACACGGTGGGTTGTTTCTCCGTTACAGCATTCTCATGGGTTGTGAGAGATAAGCATTCCCTAAAGCTATCACTGTTTTTTTTATTGCGTTAAGAACACTCTAAAAGGCCTATCACTCTGGGCTGTGTAAGGTTTAATGCATTCCAAGAAGCTATCACCGTGTTTTTTTTTCTGTGATAAGAAAAGTAGTCTAAAAGGCCTATTACCAAGGTTAAGCTTTACTGAATACCTTGAGGCTACCAACGTGGTTTGTATTGCTATAAGAAACCTTTAAAGGACCATCACCGTGGGTTGTCTGAGCTTGACTGCTTTCCTTGAGGCCTTCACCGCAGATTTTATTGTGATAAGAACACTCGAAGGCATAACACCGTGCTTTGTGTGAGCTTTCCTGCATTCATCGGGGCTATCACTTAGCGTTTTATTGCAAAAAGCAACCTCTAAAAGGCCAATAACCGTGGGTTGTGAAAGGATTGCTGCATTAATTGCGGCTATCACAATGGGTTTTATTGCAATAAGAACGCTCAAAAAGGCCTATAACCGTGGGTTTTGAAAGGTTTGCTTCATTCTATGAAGCTATCTTCATGGGTTATATTGCGATAGCAACTCACTAAAAGGCCTATCACCGTGAGTTGTGTTAGGTTAACTGCATTCTTTGAGGCTATCACGCTAGGTTTTATTGCGATTAGAACCCTCTAAAAGGCCTGTTACTATGGGTTTTGCGAACTTTACTGTATTGTTTGAGGCTATCACCTTGGGCTTTATTGCGTTAAACAATGTTAAAGCTCTAAAAGGGATATCACTGTGGGTTGTGTTAACTTAACAGCAAATCTCGAGGCTATTTACGTCTATTTTATTACGATGAGAGCCCTCGAAAAGGCCTATTATCGTTGGTTGTTAGAGCTTTACTGTATTCCTTGTAGCTTTCACCGTGGGTTTTATTGCGATAAAAAGCCTCTTTAATGTCTATCACCGTGGGTTGTGTAAGCTGTGCTGCATTTTTTTAATCTATCACCGCGGGTTTAATTGCGATAAGAAACTTCTAAATGTCCTATCACATTGGGATGTATGAGTTTTACTGCATTACATAAAGCTACCACCGTGGGTTTTATTGCAAAAAAGAACCCTGTAAAAGGCCATGGGTTGCTCTTAGCTTTACTGCATTCTATGATGCAATCACTTTGGTGTTATTGCATAAGTAACGCTCTTAAAGACCTATCACCGTGGATACAGGGTTGTGTGAGCTTTCCTGCATTCCTTCAAACTAATTATTACCAGAGAATTTATCGCGATGAAAACCCCCAAAAAGTCCTATCACTGTACGTTGACTTAGGTTTAATGCATTTCTTGAGGCTACCACCTTGGGTTAAGAACCCTCGAAAAGGCCTTTCACCGTGGTTTGTGTGAGATTCAATTTATTCCTTGAGGCTATCACCGTGGTTTCATTGCGACAAGAACCCTGTAAAAGGCCTATCACCGAGGGTTGTGTGTGGTTTACGGCATTCCTTGATGCTATCACAAAAGATTTTATTGCGATAACAACCCACAAAAAGGCCTATCACCGTGGATGGTCTTAGCTATTATGCATTTCTTGAGACTATCACCGTGGGTTTTCTTCCGATAAGAACCCTCTAAAAAGCCTATCACCGTGGGTTATGTGAGATTCAATGCATTCATTGAGGCTATCACTGTGGGTTTTGTTGTGATAAGAACCCTCTAAAAGACCTATCACCGTTGGTTATTAGAGCTTTACTGCATTCCTTGTAGCTTTCACCATGGGTGTTATTGCGATAATATGCCTCTAGAAGGTCTATCACTTGGGTTGTGTATAAGCTGTGCTGCATTCCTTGAAGCTATCACAGTGGGTTTTATTGCGATGAGAAACTTCTAAAAGTCCTATCACCTTGGGTTGCATCACTCAGATAGGCCTATCACCGTGCATTCTTTAAGGTTTTCTGTATGGTTTGAGGCTGTCACCATTTGTGGTCTTGGTATTAAAAGCCTCTAGAAGGTCTATCACCGTGGGTTGTGTGGGCATTACTGCATTCCTAAAGGTACCGTGTGTATAATTGCGAAAAGAACCATCTTAAAGGCTTATCACCGTGGGTTTTGTGAGCTTTACTGCATTTCTTGATGCTATCACCTTGGGTTTTATTACGATGATAACCCTCCTTAAGGCCTATAAATCGGGGCTATGTGAGCTTCAAAGCATTCCTTGAGACAATCATCGCGGGTTTTTTTACGATACGAACCCTCTTAAAGCCCTATCACCTTGAGTAGTGGCAGTTTTACAGCATTACATGAAGCTATCACCTTGGGTTTAATCGCAAAAAGAACTAGGGATGTCATTCGGAGTCCGGATATCCGAACGTTCGGATCACGATTCGGTGTCCGGAGCCGATTTTCGGATCCGGATGTTCGTATAAAATATTTCAGAATATTGAGAAAATGTGAAAAATACATGAACATGCCTTGAGATAATCGACGATAATCGACGTAGACTTGGTGTTGACACTATATTGCATATTGTACCTTAATTTGACAATACACATCATTATCTCTGCAGACCCCCCAAAAAATCAATAATTATTATTATAATAATTACGGGTCGTGTATGACACATGTTGTTAATCTACATGTATGTTAACACCAAACAAATTTAAGTTTTGTAGGATCCAAGATGAATGTTCTAAGTTCCGTGCGATTGTCATCGGCAACGATTTTACATTTTTTATGTCCAAATTTAAATATTTAATTAGGCTTTTTTACATATATTTCGGCTTACCGACCCGTCGTCTCCATATATTTTGAGAAAATGAAAAATCTGCAGAAATAAAATTAGCAAATAAAGAAATGCACTTACGAATAATAATATGTTAATTATCACAGCTTTTTTTGAAATTGATACGATAATTATCCGGCAAAATAACTTTCTCCTTAGTATTTATCAAACATGTACCTTTTTTAAAAACACAGTTTTTTTCACTAATGAACACTTAAAATGTGTGTAATTCATGTAAGTTTCGGCAACTTCTTTGATGATTCGAATCAAACAGCCAGGTCTACATGTTGGTAAACATCAAAGATTGGCAGATTCTTTTGAAAAGCTGACTACACACCTGTCAAAGGTCATCGTGTGTAAATTGTATGCATGTTATTGAACAATGGAAACTTTTAATTTTTTACGGGTGTTATTTTGTTTCCACAAATGTGAGCAAGTGTTATTGTGTATTATAGCACTAATTAAGGAATTTAGACAATCGGCGATGAATTTCATTTTCATTTCATTTGAAATCGTAAGTATCATACGCACTTAATTTATCGATAACAGTCATATTCTATATAGAAAAAATAAAATCAATACCAAAATTATTTTGATACGTAACATTCAATTGAAAAGGAAATGAAACAAAATACTACAGTACACTTTGAAAAAAATGCTACTCTTTGAAAAAGTTCGCGAAAAAATGGTTACGTCGTATCAGCCAACTAAGAATATAACAACGATCCGAACATCCGGATGTATCCGGATGTTTTATTCGGATATCCGGATGGCCGTTTCGGCTCCAGATGACATCCCTAAAAAGAACCCTGTAAAAGGCCTTTCACCGTGGTTTGTGTGAGATTCAAGTTATTTCTTGAGGCTATCACCGTGGTTTTATTGCGATAAGAACCCTCTTAAAGGGCTATCA